TTTAGGCAAAAAGGAGACAAGCATGAGTTAAAAGATTATTAACAATATAAGAGAAGAAAAAAAAAGGACAAAGGTACATTTATTTATCTCCTTCCCTCACTAAGTTCAAATTCCACAAGCAAAGAAGTTATTTTAACCGACTTTTGATACACTCTCCCACTTTTTTTTAGTAAGTCTTGAATTTCCCTTCACCTTTCATTTCAGAGTGATTCCCCTTGATTAGGTCACACATTTAAATGAGTGGTTGTTTGTTTTTTATCTTTTAATGCAAGTCTTAGTACCATGAGTAAATGTAGAGGCCAACTAAAAAGGATTAACCTCTTGGTATATATTAAACTCAAAACAAACTACACATTTATTTGCATTCTTAATAAATCATTGTACCGAAGATACTGATTTCACCTCAGTTTTTGTTTTAATGATAGAAAGAAGACCTGTTTTGCTTAACTGAGTCATAGCTAGAATCAGCAAGATAACCTCATAATATCCAGATTAATCTTATCAAATTTCTTTCTGTTGCAGAAATAGGAAGAATTTCTTTTTTATTGATTGAATCATTTTCAACAGCTTATCAACCCATTGCATTTATATCAAAAACATAAAATATTTTAGATTCAATATTAAAAACATAAATATATATAATACATCAAAAATACATATATATATCAAAAATATAAATACATATATATATATACATATATATACATATATATATACATACATATATATATACATATAATATATATATATACATATACATCAAAATATACATACATATATATATATACATATGCATATATATAAATATATACAAAAAAACATAAAAAAAAAACAATATATATACATACATATATATATTTACATATATACATATATATATATACATACATATATATATACATATATATTTTTATATATACATATATCGTCATATATATATAATATATAATACATTTACATACATGTATATATATACATATATGCATGTATATGTATATATATATACATACATACATACATATATATATATGTACACATACATATATATATATAAATGCATATATATATATACATATATACATATATATATATATATATATATACGTACGTAATATAATAATATGCACGCACGTATGCATGTGTGCGTGTGCGTGCGTATGCGCATGTGCGTGTGTGTGTGCATGTGCGTATGTGCGTGTGTGCGGCACGCGTATGTGCGTGTGTGTGTGCGTGCGTATGCGTATGTGCGTGTGTGCGTGCGTATGCGCGTATGCGTGTGTGTGCGTGCGTATGCGTGTGCGTGTGCGTACGTATGCGCGTATGCGTGTGTGTGCGTACGTATGCGTATGTGCGTGTGCGTACGTATGCGCGTATGTGTGTGCGTGCGTGTGCGTGTGTGTGTGTGTGCGTGCGTGTGCGTGTGTGTGCGTGTGTGTGCGTACGTATGCGCGTGTGTGTGTGCGTTTTTTGTACTGTGTATACGTATTATTTTGTATTTGTGCATGTTTTTGTGTGCATACATATATATATATATGCATATACATACATATTTTGTTTCATATATATATTTATAAAAATATATATATATGTTTTATATACATTTTCTATACATGTATATATATATATATTTATATATATATATACATACATATTTATACACACATATATATATTTTCTACATTTTATATATATACTAATATTGTTATATATATATATATACATATATATATATATATATATATATATATATATATACATACATATATATATATATACATACATATATATATATATATATACACTGATATATACATACACATATTCTTATATATAAATATATCTATATACATATACACATATATATGTTTATAAATATATGTTATATATATATATATATATATATATATATAATTGATAAATTCCATCAATAACCATAAAAAAAAGTGCACAATACATTTTTCCTTTATGTATATGTGTGTGTGAAAATATGTGAATTGTGTCTGTGTATATATTTTTATATGTATGTGTACTTGTTATCATAGATATGTTTATATGTTTATTTTTATATATTTATATGTATGTATTTCTGTGTGTGTATATATGTATGTATGTATATGTGTGTTAGTTTGTGTCTGCTGCCATGTGTATATATGTGTAAATATGTATATACGCATGACAGTACACTTATTTCTGTAGGTTTTCTTTTTATCCTGTCTTCCTTCGCCTAATATATAATGAAACTATTATCAACTTATATGATTAAAATATGTTTTTATTGATATTTGTGGTTTTGGAATTTTCGTTTTAATATATTAAATAATATTATTTTTAGCCATTTTTATCTTTGTATATTTGCTCGCTTAAGTTATATGTTAATAAGTGGCTAGCATTTGTTTAATAATACTTTCAGTTTTAAATATTTATTGGTTGTGGTATCTGATTGTCAAGGTCAATGTCTGTGGATATGTGTACATGTATTTATCGGTGTCTATGTGTATGGAGAGTGCATTCACTTTTAATTGTGTGTGTGTAGGTGTTGGTTTCCTATTTCCTTTTATCACAAAGGGCTGTGGAGATGTTCCTGTCTCTGTCGCTTTTTTTTTGTGTGTGTGTGTGTGTATATATATATATATATATATATATATATATATATATATATATATATATAAATATGTCTGGTTGCTTATGTATTATAATCTCATTGTATTTGTGTTGTTTTTGTTATGAATTTAAGACCCCATTCACACACTTCCTGGGGATTAAAATGTATATACATGTATTGTCAGATGACCGGATATTTGTAGCTTCTGTTCTAACGTAATTTCAACGAAGAAATAAATTGAATAACATATGTATTTTTTTTTTCTCCTCAGTAATTTTATAGTTTTTAACTTAATAGTGATTAAATTTAGATTTTAAATTGGCAGTTTTTAATTTTAATATCAAATTTTATCATATAATTTAATAATTATTGGTTAGAATAAATTTTTTTAATATTACCCATATTTTAAAGATCTGAATAGCTATAACATGATTTCATTGTCAAGCTTTTGAATCTTCCTATACTTGGGTTTTGATTGGTCATTCTAGCTTTTGTAACAATGTTTTCCCCTAGCGAATGATCGTTAATTAATTTGAAACTTTTAAAACTATTTATTTTATATTCAACATCACTTGATAAGACACCGAGGGTGTTAAAACAAAATGGCTATTTTTGTAGTGATTTTATAACATATTTGTTATAATTTTTTTTTTAATTATAAGAGAGAGAGAGAGAGAGAGATAGATAGATAGATAGATAGATAGATAGATATTTTACACATATGATGGAAGCTTTTCTTCACAGCAAAGTCATTCAAAGTAACATAAGTTGATTTAAATGGTTTGATTGATAAATTAATTCTAAACCATTCCAAATAATTGGGAAATTTGCAGCATTTTGATTTTTAAAAATAATTATGATTTCTGGAATTATTTACTTATTTCATTTTTTTTATTACTATTTTAAGCATGATGAAATATAAAAATGCTCCACATCTATTGAAATAAATGCATAGAATTCAGATAGTATTACATTATGTTCTCAGCCACAATATGCTCTAAAATTATATATGAATAATTTTTTTCAATTTATTATTACAAATCTAATGAATTAACAAATAGAAGAAAACAACATAGATTGTCAACATTTAATATTTGCATATTCAATGAACATATAAACATTACCCAAGTAGTTTCTTTACAATCAGGTGATACTATAAATTGTGAAAACATGTCTGAACAATAAAACATGGTAAATGTATATATAATATAATAATTTTGTATATGTTTTTTTACATATATTTGTTATTTAATTTTGTCAGAATAATGTAAATAAGACAAATGTGCTTCAATTTTTCTAAATGTGAATAGGTTTTCATATAAAGTAAATATCAATAAAGTAAAACAATTACAAGAAATAATTGTTCAAATTAATTAAAAAAAATTAAATAAGAACTTTAAAGCATCACACACTGCTTTTTCATCAATAACTAAATTGTTGAAGGAAAACATTTTCATGGTCAAGTGTTGAAATTTATATTTATCTGATTATATTTTTTTTTTACAATCATTTAGTATCCAAACATTGAAATTTACCATATTTTAGCATGTGTCATTACAGTCAAATTGCTAAGTCTTTGGAAAATTTTGTTTTTTGTTTTGATGGATCATCAATAAGATTACAATGCTAATAGTAAAATGTACAAGTTGACATTTACAGCTAAACTTAAAAAAAAAAAATTCACTACCTAAAGTTCTTATCAATTATTTAATCTCTGGTAGACTCGTCTTTTACTTAGCACAATTAAAGCAATTGTGCTAACTAAAAGACGAGATAGCTCTAAACCTCATCTTTTCTATCTAATTGTCTTATCTACCAGACACAAACATTTCAAGTTAGCTTACATGCATGTGTGAAAGAAATTGTGGTTTTATCTGTAAATTGGTAAAAGCTTTACACATATTTTTTAAAAATGATTTTTCTCTAAATATTCACATTAATGCATATATTTTTTCAAATGTATATATCTGAAGTGTAAAATGAATAGTGAAAATGCAAATGAATTTCATTTTGTAGGACTTTTAATATTAGCACAGCATTTTTTTTAAACTAATGCCTCAGTAAGAAATAGGTTAATACATTTTAGTATATCATGTTTTCTAAGAGTTTCATTTTTTGTCTAAAGCTGCATATTTATCTACTCCTTTGATATTTTACCTATGGTGTTAGCTAAAAGACATCTATTGCTAAAAATGCATTTCTTGTGATATTTAAATAAAACAGTTACAAATAGCCTTTGTTTAAATCAGGTTTATAAACAAAAAGATTGAAGTACTTAACTATTTGGTGACAATTGCTAAACAATAAAAAGTGTAATATTTGTTAATTCAATTTCTAGTCTTTATGCACACATTATCAAAACAATAGTAAAAACAAATAAATAAAATCCCAAACTTACATTAATTAGCAAAGCTAATGCCTGAAATTGTTCTCGAGTTATGAGATCTGCAAAGCAAGGTTCTTCTGCAAGCTTCAACATACAACAGCCAGCCTGCAGTCGGAGCCTAGCCAACTCAGGTTTACTAAAATCAGAATTTCAAAATTGAATATATTACATATTTTCATGAAATAAGATTAGACTTAACAACTTTCAGAATAAAATGTTATTAAGCACGAAAATATTAAAAGATTTGTACTTCAGTCATGTAAATGATTGCAACCAATTAGTGCCACCAGATTCAAATATTTATCTTTCACTATAGAAAAAAAATCAAGTCTTTTGTGAGGAAAAATAATTTGAACTGTAATTGTTTTTTTTTCTTTTCAAAGCCCTTTTCAGTTTGTATTCAATGTTTTTCCCTTTACCATTGAATTCTTTTTTTGTAAAAATCTTTAAACTGACTTCTCAACTGTTACATTTTGGATCAAAGCTGCACATTTGTTTCCGTATGTTAATAAAATTGTTAACTCTCAATGGCATTTCTCAAGTTGAGAAATACTGAAATTATAATATTTACATTATTACAGTAGTAAATTTTATAAGTTCAGTTTTTTTATAACAAAGTAATTTATAAAACAGTTTTCTTCATTTCAATTAGATTGTTAAAGATCAGATTCAGGGATTGCCTTTATATAATAGACTGCCTTGCTATAATTATTTTCAGTTACTGTTTAAAAGTATATGGCTTATAGATAAGATTGCCATATTCCATTACATTTTTAAAGTTATTTTCCCGACTCAGTGAAAGTACTTAGTTTTGAAATTATGGGTGGATTTTTTTATACATAGGTTTCATTATTAACAAGAAATGGTGTCCAACCCCAATAAGTTCTCCTACTATAACTCATCCAGTGACAAGACAGTACAACTGGCATCATTATTTACAGCCAATATGGTTGCATAACATTCTAAATATAGTATACTTACTTTATCTTTCCTCTTTCCATAAGGTCTCCCTCATGAATTATCACAGTGTAGAGAAGCCGTAAGGTTGATGTTGCTGAATTGCCTGCATTGCTTCGTAACCCCAATAGCCACCGGACTAACATTTTCATGGCTAAAACCTAAAAAGTGAAACATCATTTATAAGCATAAACAAAGTTTATCCCTCATACATCACTTTTAATTACATAAAAATAAGCGTCTTCAAATGAACAAAACCAAGCCTATGAAAATGACCCCAAACAACATTTAACAGTTTTTCTTCAATATAGTCTACTGTTTGAAGATGATGTATTATGATACCATGAATAAAAAAAAATTTAGAACTTAATCCTGAGTAGTGATGAGAGACATAACAGACAATAATACCACTAAACTGCAAGGGGTCACTGAGAGTGAAAGAGAATGAGAAGATTTTAGTAAAGAGGAAGGACAATAAAAGATAAAGATTCAAGAAGATAGAGAAAAAAAAAAAAAAAAAAAAAAAAAAAAAAGTTTGTTCATAGGAAGACAGGATATGTCACTGGAAAACATTGATTCAAAACAAAATTAAGATGTGCGAGCATTTAAAAAAATGATATCAGCAAAAAAGAAGAGTTAATTTTTATAAATGTGTAGAGAAAATATTCCAATAGCTTATAGAAAACAGAAGTAACAATTGATAAATATAGATAAAAATAAATGGCATTTCATACTTTAAAAATTCATTTAAATTATGATCAAAATTAACATAAAAAATGATATAGATAAAAATGAAGCAAACCTTTGCTTGTGTTTCTTCAGAAACAAGATGATCTGCATACCAACTATCATGGACCTGGTGACCTTGAGTCTAAGAAAATGCATAAAAATACAAATGAAAACATTAATAGCAAAGAAATAGTGAATATAGTGAAACATTCACTATGGGAACAATTACAGGAACTGAAATCAAATAACTTAAGCATTTTTAAAATGTTAATTTTACTGTTTGATATAGCAATATTGAATTTACCATCTTTGATAGTAATCATTCTTTAACAAAAAGTAATATATAAAAAATTATATCTTAAATTTCAAATGAACTTACTCGATCTTGCATCAATAAATCCTTGACAATAAGTTTTGATACAACATTTTTCATTTCAGAACTGAATTCTCCAGGACAGATTTCAGCAATGTGCCCCATGGCAACAATTGCTGTTAGATAGTTTGCAGACTCGGGGTTTAATGCTTTTTTTACATGCTGTAATAAAAGAAATAATACAGAATTATTCAAACTTATCTGAGAAAATATATAAACATAACTTGCCAAATAAATGCATATATGTTTGGTTAAAGTGGTACAAAATAAAAAAAAATTGTTTCTAGAAAATTAACGAAATGGAAATTCTTGTTTTAAGCTAAGATAAACTGACATAGTAAATATCAAATTGTCTTCAATGTGTTGCAAAAAAAAAAACAAAAAAAAACAAAAACACTTGTATGAAAGCAAGTGACCAAAACAAGTAATTATTCTAACTGACATGCCAATAGAAATTTGGTTTAAAATGTTTCTTAAAAAGAACTATATACAATACAGTTGCAAATATAAAACTGCAAAAAAGTAAAAACAATTCAGTTGGATTCCCAAGATGATTTTTTTTTTAACACAAGGTTAAAGTCACTATATAATTTTCAATAAAATACTTACTTCAAAAACTTGCTGTAAGATAGTTTCCTTCTCTTGCTTATACACAACACTAATGCATTTGATTGCATGCTTTGTTTGTCGGATATTTCCCATCTTTGCTGTGGTGAGAAGGACTGGTAACAGACTCCTAAAAATAAAATTATTCATTACTGACAAGCAATATGATTAACCACTGTCTGGAATAACTTTTGTCTTTTCATTAATTTTTTGACTGTATGCACACACGTTTTTATTAAATGCTATTCAAATCAATTCATGACAAAAACATGCTCTTTATAAAACTGCTATCACTTTGCAGAGAAAGATATATTCACTACTTGAAATCTTTGAAACAAAAATTTTAAACAAACATTTCTTTCATAAATTGGCTTGTTATAGTTAAGTACAGTTTTACAAACAGATGCCAACTTGTTGAATGCCAAGTAAAATACAAATTTCAGCCACTTTTCTGCACTATATAAAACTAAAACCTAAACCAAACAATTTTTGATATGAAAATCAAAACAATCCTTGAATAAAAGAACAGTAATGAAGGACAGTTAATTAATGAAATAAACCTTTTTAAAATCAATATGCAAATTAGTTAAACCTGAAGAGTGATATTGCCTAGAAGTAGATAATATATAATTTGAGTAATTTCACATCTACTTATCTGTCAGTTGCATCTCTGTCTTTGGGCAGAATGCACTCAGGGGCGACTCCGTCAAAGGACAGAGTTGCAACTGAGGAAAATTATACTGAGAGGTGCTGGCCCTGGGGAACAGCTGCCCGAGGCCGCGCCTTCTCATTGGTCTAGAGAGAATGATCAGTGCACACATCAAAGTCAGCGCAACCGACAGTTGCAGGGTCTTGGGAATTTTTGTTCCTTGCCCGGATGTATGCGCTCGGGCTCCCCACATTAAACCACCCTTGTGTCACAACCTGACCTCATGGGGGGTTCAGTAAATACAAAATACTCTTTTGAGTAATTTCACATCTACTTATCATCTCTCAGTTGTGTCTTTGGGCAGTGTGCACTCAGGGGCTTCTCTGTCAGAGGACAGAGGAGCAACTGAGGAAAATTATACTGAGAGGTGCCCAGCTCTGGGGAACAGCTGCCTGAGGGTTCGCCACCCATTACACCAGAGGGAGGGATTGGTGCTCACACTGAGGCCAGCGCAACTGTTGGTTGCGGGGGGCTGAGAGCAATTTTGTTCCTGTGCTGGGCATACGTGCTCGGGTCCCCCACCTAAAAATAGACCTTGTGTCACATCTCATCCTGGGCAGAGTAAATACCATGTGCAAATTACTATAAAGTAGAGCTGGGGGTTTTTAATCTCAGAATTTGTGGGAGAATTGAGCCCCAATTTTGCATTTATTCATATAGATTCCATAATATGTTTTACTTAATTAGCTATTATGTTTCTCTAACTCTTCAAATGTTGAATATATAGCTAATTCTATTTTCACATCTTTACACTATATTAATTTTATCTTATAAATTGTTCCCTGTTCTGTCACCCATGAAATAAAAATAATTGTTTGAACAGAAAATAAGGATCTACGTATATCAAATCTTTAAATTAAGTTGAAGCAGAAGAATTATCATTGAACTTTTAAAAGGTAAGCTTAAACATTAATTCAATACTTAAATGCAGTCATCAGTTTTTAGTTCTTCTGTAGTTTATCTATGCCTATTGCATCTACTCCTCCCTAGCTTTTGTGACGATGACCAAACCAAGAGTCCTCCACAGGAGCTAGCTTAAATGCTGCCCAATAGGGTGGCTTTTAAACTAGCTTAAAATTTTAAGCTAGCTGCAATTTTGGATACAAAAAAAGTAACTTCCTTTGAACCATGAAAGCAACGATAATGAAAAATAGTATAATATATTAATATATATTTTTAACCTTGCATAATCTGGTAACCCTGAATCTGAGCTCAACAAAAATCGTTCCCTGTGCCTAAATATTCTAGGGCTTTTTGAATGAGCTATGAATCATTGGAATTCAACCAGTGAGAGGGGACACACACACAAACACACAGTGTACTTTATATACAAGATTATTTAATAAATGAACAGTAACAGGTTACTTTTAATCAAACAAGATTAAGGTTCAAAATTATTTACCATTTCAGTAACAATGACTATTTCAATTAATTTGTGTAAACATTAATTTATCAAATTTCATTAATACTGATATGTGAGCAACTAAAAAAAAAGTAGTATCAGAAAAAGGCTGACCTTACATTAAACAAAGTTTTTGCCATGTTATTTTTGTAGAAATGATAGAAAATTTTATTTACAAAAAATCCATAAAAACCTTTTAAAACATAACTTTTAAAATCTTTTTTCAAATTGTTTAAAATTGTATGTTAAAATGCAAGTTAAATTTTAACTGTAAATAAACAATTTACACAACTTCCATTATAATCAATATAGCTGTTATGATGATCCAACTTAGTAGTCATACATAATCTATATACACTGACTCAAAATTGCCTGTGAGCTATAGTTATAGCTCTCTTTATGCTAATTACCTATTAGCTAAACCAATCCTATTACATCTCCCTGAATCTTCTGGGTTTCATGCCTTGCAAAGATCTACAGCTTCTCCTACATTCCTTCCCCCTCTTACTGGTTTCACTAGCATTTCTCGTTATGGGAAACCTTGATCTAGCTCTTATTTTCAATGTCCCATGTTTCATACTCCAAGTCTTTCAAAGAACTTTGATCAATTTTGTCCCAGGAAGGACACCTGGTGATGTATCTTTCCAGGACATTGACACCAGCAGAATTGAACTACTGTAATATTGAAAAGGAAGCGCTTGTATGGAGTATGACCAGAGCAAGACAATTTTTATTAGAAAAAAATTCACAATATCTGTTGGTATCTCTTAACCATTTTAGATATTTCCTTATAGGCTCCCCAAATTCTTGTTTCAATGCTAAGAATTTTTTTTGTTCAACTATGACCAATTATTTCTTTGGTTGGATATTTCTCAATATTATTTTTTTGATTTCCTTAAAATGTCAAGATTTCAATTTTAACCAGGTTAAGTAATTAACAAAATCTGCCTAATGGTTTCATATCTCTCAGTGGCCAAAAATAAATTTGTGATTCCTTTCTTTCCGTCAGGTGTTTGGTCATCTCGTAACTTCTTTATTCTGGCACGTGCCTCAAAGCATTTTATTCAAATCTTTACATTTTCAGGTTCTTCTGTGTTCAACAGAGCTCCATCAGGTTTGGTCTGGTTTGTTTTGATTTTACGGCATATCAACCTCAATGGGTCATTTAATGCTGACAAAATTTATTGTTGGTAATATTTTTTTTATTTTAAAATCTAATTCTGGTAATATTTTCCCTTCAAAAATTCTATTTCTGGTTATAATTTTTCAATTATGTATCGCTGGTAATATTTTCCTTTTTTTCAAAAAAATGTATAGCTGGTAATATATATTTTTCTTTTTTTTAAAAATACATTGTTGTTTTTTTTTTTTTTTTTATAGATTTTTCTGTAGATCCCAATTTCTTTAGTGAAATTTATGATGTTTCTTGGATTAGTATTTTCGAATAGATCCTTTAGGTAATCCGATTTGTAGTGTTTACTACGGATTCGTCGGAGATTATGGCAATTTAGAAGGATGTGTTTGACTGTATAAGATTCTTGGCACGGGACACATGTTGGAGGTACCTCGTTTTTTAGATGTTGATGGGTTATGTATGTGTGACCAATATGAAATCTGGCTAGAACCACCTCCTCTATCCTTATCTTTCTGGAACTTGCTGGTCTTTCACCAATGATAGGTTAATATTGAAAAGTTTCTTGTTATCACAGTTGTTCTATAATTGCTGCCATTTGTCTTTAATGATCCTGTTTATGCAGAGTCTGAAGTCAGTGTGAGGCACCATTACTTTAGAGGGAGCCATGTTCAGAGATTCCTTGGTCATTTTGTCCGCTTTTCTATTTCCTTGTATGCCAATATGGCTCAGTATCCAGCATAAAACTATTACTGTATCTTTTTTCTTATAAATGGAGTCAAACCTATTTAATAAATTATTAATTAAGAGGTTTTTCATGTTTTTATTCTTCAAAGCTTCAAAACAGATGATGAATCTATCTGACTCACTAGATTTTATAATATCTAAAGCCAGATGTATGGCTGTGGCTTCTGCACTGAAGATTGAATCATAGTCGGGCAATCTTTTCTGCATTACTATGTTGTTGAGTATAGCAGAACACCCAACTCTGTCCAACATTTTAGAACCACCTGTGTATATATGCTTATGGTTTGGATGAGCTTGTAGAACATTATGAATTTCTTCCATATAATTGGATAAGTTAGAATTAATTTTGGAATATTTGGTAAGGTTTAATAACCAGGGAGGATTTTTTAAGTTGGTGGATTTAAGTATAATAGTTGGATTTAATTGTGTTTTGTTGACTAGCTTTTCATGTAAGGTCAAAAGGTTTGACAGCATTTTCATTTTTATCAAAAAGAAATTCATATTTAGGGTTGAAGGTACAGTGATATGCAGGGTTAGTTGAACATGATTTCAGTTTTATTGTAATGCTAGTTTTTCACATCTCAACTTTAAAGGTGCCTCATGGGCTTCTGCATATAGACTTTCTACAGGTGATGTTTTGAAAGCCCCCAGAGCCAGTCTTAATCCTGCGTGGTGTATAGGTTCAAGGATTTTTAGATAGGATTTCCGAGTCAAACCATATATGAAATATCCATAGTCCAATTTAGATCTTATTAATGCTCTATATAATTTTAGGAGTGATATACGATCAGCTCCCCAGTCAGTGTTTGCCACAACTTGTAATAATTGTAATGCTTTGAAACATTTCTGCTTTATGTACTTTAAGTGAGGTATGAATGTCAGTTTTTTATCAAAGAATATTCCCAGAAATTTATGATGATCTGTCATTTCAATTTTGTTCCCTTCTAGTTTCAGGGTTGGGTCATTGTGCATTTTTTTCTGTTAGTGAATACATTTTGTCTTGGTTGGCGAGAATTTAAGGCCATTTTCAATTGCTATTTCTTGGATTTTTTTTTTCATTTGTATTTTCCAGGTTTAATAGTTTTGTAGATGTAGGGTCATTTTTGTTTGCAGTTGACGGTGGTTCTTTTAATGATCTTTGTATAGATAATGACTGTTCCCTTGTTTGTGATGGGCTAAAGTTTTGTTCCTCAATGTTCATTTCTCTTGATTCTTCACTAAAAGTTTTTTTGTTTTTTTTTGGTACCTTTTGATTCTCTTGAAAATGTTTAGAGGATTCTATTTCTTGGATTTTTGTACTTTGGTTTAGAATTTTCGGATTTAATTGTTTTGTACATGTAGAGACATTTTTGTTCAAGGTTGACGGGACAGGATTTTTTTTTGTCTATGGGCGTTTGATTTATGAGTGATATACTACATTTTAGTAGTTCTATTAAAGTTTTTAATTTGTTAGTAAGCGTTATAAGATCTTGGCTTCTTAATGCATTATTTTCTTGGAAGACTTTTTGTTGATTTGATATTTTAGTGATATTTGCATATGATGTTTGAAGTGAAATAGATTCAACCTGTTTCCTGGTTTCTTGGAAGGAGATATTTTGTGTGTATTTTCTTCTAATTATTTCCTTTTCCTTTTTCCAAATGTTACACTCTTTGGAGTCTGTTGGATGTTTTTTCTTTACAGTTTGGACATAAAGGAGGCCTTTCACAAGGTGATTCATCATGCTCAGTTTTCGGTTCCCCACACCTTCGACAGACTGATGTTCTCATACAAACATTTTGAAGATGACAAAATTTTTTACATTTATGACATCTACGGGGATTAGGAATGTATGGCTCTACCTTCGCTATTGTGTAAGCTATCTTTATTTCTTTTCGTAGAGTCAGTTTGTTGAATGTCAAAATGTATGTGTTGGTGTTTATTACTGTGTCATTTCTTTTTACTTGTATTCTTTTAACATCTGTTACTCCTTGCTTTTTTCAGGTACCGTCATTTTCAATTTCTTCTGATGAACTAAGTGACAGTTCTGGGCATTTTATTACTCCTTTTGATGAATTAAGAAATTGATAGGGGTAGGCCTTGACTTTATTGTTGTCAATTTGCTTGATTTTTAGCAGTTTCTCTGTGTCTTTTTTGGATCTCAGTTGAATTAATAGGGTATTATTTTTCTTTGTTTAACAGACTGTGGGTTGATCATGTCTGAAATAACCCTTTGCAACACGAAAGGAGACACTTATGATATATCACCCTCTACTGATTCTACAACAATGAAAGTTGGAAATTGATTTTTTTCTATTTCATTTTCAGAAGTCTCATATTGTCTCTTGGTTCACTTATAAGAGATAGCCATATAATTTTAATTTTTTTATTCACTGTCTGTGCTCCTCACCCACCTCGGAGTTCCTTCTTAAGGGACGCTATCAGGGGGGACTAATCCCTTTCGCCCTAATCCCTCAAGGCTACACAGACAGTATAGTTGTGATGAGAGTGGATACAAGCACCTGCGCTCCCCCACCATATCTACCCAAGTATAGTATGATGTAAGGCTTTGTGGCCCTGTCGGACCCATTATCTATCATCCCAACTAACCCTTACCACAATGTGACTAGCCGATTGGATTGGGCTATTCCATCCACCCGTCTATCCCAGGTAGGGACCAAAGTGACGTGTTGTGACAACTCCTGGTCATTTTATACGAGATCAGGAGTCACAGGTCGCCACCCACGGCAAACAGGTGGCCCCATTTAGGGGAAATTTTAGTTTTTTGAAATTGGGTTTTGTGAATGTGCACTTTATATACTGCAATTTGTATTGATGGTATTATTATTACAAAAAACCCATCCATTCCTAGTATTCAGACTCCAGATCGAGGGAGTGCAGGAAACTATTTACCCATAGCTGGGACTCTAATGGGAGCTACCACCCCGGGTCAGGGTCAACCCGGGAACAACAGCAACTAAGATGCAGTTACACACTCCTCAAAAACTACTGATCAGGGTCCTTGCTGCTGGATGCAGTTTATCATCATACCCAGGACAGATCTCCATCAGGTGACACCATTTTGTTATAATGATCCAACTTAGTAGCCTATATTCTATTCTACATACACAGACTCAAAGTTGCCCATGAGCTATAGTTATAGCTCTCTTTATGCTAATTACCTATTAGTTAAACCAACTCCATTACAATAGCTATTTTTTTTTAAATACTTCCTCAATCATTTCTCTTCAAAAACAGTAAATTTCAATAAAATTAGTACAACTTTACATTTGGTACAATCCGTTTCAAAGAGTTTTTATGTCACTAACTAGCAATAAATGACAAAGTTAAACATTTTTATTCATTTTGAAATATCTAATACTTTAAATTAGAAGGACATTACCAAAACTTGTTTCAACAAAACAATTATGTAAAGACTTCTCAGCTGTTTTGTTCTTTGATCAATATAGCAATAACTTGAAAAAAACGGAATATTGAGTATTGTAAAGAATATACTTACAAATGTATGTTTGGACAATCCTTTTTCAAGTTGTGACCAGTGTTGACAAAAACTTGAAGTGTTAAGTCAGCTGGAAAATCAAAAGAAAAAAATTAGTGCATTGTAATTTCTCAATGGAAAAATATTTATCACTTACTAAATTTGAAACAACTAGAACAGCATTATTAACTTAAAAAGGAATATGCCTAATTGTCTAGAGAGGAGTTCTCACTGATAAAAAAAAAACAAAAAACATTTATCTTTAATGTATGTATTTTAACTTTTAATTATTTATAAAGAATGAAATAATTAATTAAAATTCATTACGTTAGCAAGCAGAGAAAAAAAAATTAAATGAATTAGATTGCTTACAAATAATTTCATCCTCATGTTTTAGGAATGTCAAGAGATCTTCAAACACACTTTCTCTGTTGAAACAATGAGGAAATACACTGGACAAAGCCTATAAGAAAAAAAATTAGAAACAAGTAACAATTAACAGCATTTTCTTTTTGTGCTTTGTTCATGTATTATTAACTTTTAAACATTTCAGAAATGACAAATATCAGTTAAAATAAAAGTAAAATAGAAAATTCACAAAAAATCTTAAAATAACATAACCTCCTCCCTTTTTTTTAAAAACAATTTCAGTTTCTTTGTTGTAAATTGTTCCTAACAAAAAGGTTAAATAAAAACACTTCTCTATTTAGTAAAAGCTGTAATTAAAATTAACATTTGTAATAAACTTCATTATTTCTTAGTTTTTATTGCTAAATAATAAATTTATGAAGCATTACTTTTGGAACACCAAACAAAACACAAATACAATTGCAAAGATACAGTGTAAGATTATTTCTTAAATTACAGAGATTACATAACAAAAACAAATTTTCTAGCCAATCATAATTATGTTCCTACTTGAAATATGTAACTTCAAATGTGTTAACTTTATTCTGTATGATCCTACAGGTTTTACCAAAAATGCTACTGGGCGCTATATATAACAGAGTTCAGTAATAAGGAAAAGTTTAGAACAGAATTTTGAGATTAGATTTGATAATTAAATCAATATATTAGGAGGAATCACAGAAAATGCATATAAAATTGTAAATTAAATAGAACAAAAGTTATATCAAAATTAAATATTTATCTGTATTAAAAATTTTACTGATATTTTTATCAATTAGCGGCTGGGAATATTATCACAAAATCAAGAGACTGACAAAGACTCATTTTCTGTATTATCATAATACACATTTACAAATTAATCAAAATATTTTAGAATTTAACTGGTATCTATAGAATTCTTTAAATGTTCTAATGAGGTGTATAAATTTAATATAGCGAATATATAAAAAAAAAATCAGCTAATGTAGGAAAATGTCCAACTGCGCCATTAGAAAGCAGTTGCAACATTTAATGAAAGGTTTTTTAAAAAATTATTTTAATGAATAAATGCTTAATGCTAACCGGATTTTATTTTCATCACTTGAGAATTTGCATTTATTAATAGAAACAAATTTGCAGAATCTTTAGTAATGTTATAATATGTTTTAACCCAATGTCAGTATTTAAGAATTTAAAGAATGTTTCATTATTTAAATAAAAATATAAGAACAAAAAGAAAGAACAATATATAAAAAAATATTTAAAAAAAAAAGAAAAATTAGTAAATGAGAAAATGCAGACAAAGTTTTCAATACCAACAAAATTGAAATACATCAATGGTAATTGACACAAGTATATAAAAACTATAATTTTTATTTCTAGCTCTAAATTTATATACTTGAAATTATAGTTCCATCTTTAATGTATCATCCAACTAAATTTCAAGGATTTTTAATAGAGTTAAATTATGAGTATTTACCAACAATAACTTGAGCCCTTTGGCCCCGGCAGTAAGAACTCCATCATCAACAATGATCAAGCCACTAATCACATCACAGTTGTACTTCACCAAGGCACTGATAGCATCTGCATCAATCATTACAGGAGCTATTCGCTCCAGCAGAGATTTTACAGCTATGTAGAAAGGTGTCTGCTGGCCAGGATTTCCAACCTTTCTCAAGATTTCTTTCTGTGAACATGGGAAAAAAATAATACATACAATATTGTAAATGTGAATAAATTTAAAAGAAATACTTTTATAAATAAATCCAATGCAAAATATTTCAAATGTGCACAATACTGGCCACAAATATGTATCTTTGCTTAAAAGATTAAATTTGTCTATTGTTAGTGTTATACTTTACTATTTTGAGTAAGTTTTCATAAAATGGTGGGATTGCAAAGAAAGATATGCAACCAAAACAGTTATGCTATTTGAATTTAACTAATCTTAATAAAGATAATTTGATACTGATCATATTAAATAGTTTCAATCTTTATTCCTATTCAGGATATTTTAGTGTTATTAAATTTTAAGTTACTCAACAAGTTGGCATAGGAGACATTATATCTATTTTTTCTGTCAACATGTGATGATATTGTCAGACATTAATCAAAAATTGAGAAAACATTGAATTTAAGCAAATTTAATTTGTTTATAAATTGGCTTCAGTTGCAGTGAAGAAAAAAAGAGTTCATATTCTTCAATTTTGTTGCTCAGAAATCATCCTTTGAATTTTTCTTAAGTAGCTTCTGTGGAAAAGATGTACATTTTTGTTTATACTTGATTATGATGTAATCTATAATTAATATTTTTAATAATCTTGTAAATTGTATCACAACTTCATACGTACATAAAAGCCTGGCTTGAAAACTCATTTTAAATAATTTGGCAATTATCACAAAACTTCTTAGCTATAAATATAATTCAATTGCTAGTTTCCACCGTTTTTATCCTGTGAATAAAAATTAAATAAGAGAATCGTCATTATTAAACCGGGGTGGGGGGAGAGAGAGAGACTTGAGAATGACTGATGTAAATGCTATTTAAATGATTTCCAATAAATTTTAGCCGAGAGCAAAATTCCCAATTTGACAATTATAAATAAATTATTTATGTGTATCTTCAAAATAAGTTTTATGGCAAAATTAAAAAGGCCATTAAGATACGTAATGTCTTCAGATGATTCAGCCAAGTTAAAAAAAAAATTTTTTTAATAAAAACAAATTTCTTACTAGTCTTGAATATTACATTTCTTTCCTACTGTACTTAGAAACATATTTATGAATGATCAAAGGAATGGTTAAAATAATTCTACTGTGCAATGAGCGAGTCAAAAATGATACTGGCTTTGAAAAATTAAAAAATAGATTTTCATTTTTTTTTTTTAAGGCAAGATACTAACAAAGTAGAAACAGGATCATGAAAGAAATGTCATGATTGTTTTTTTACAGAGCTGATGCTTTAAAATCAAGTATATAACAGTTTGTTCAATATACATTTAGTTTTTAAATACTATCTTGACACAAGTTTAATTTAAATTTACTTTAAAAGTTATTGTCATTCTTTAACTATCTATTGAAGTGATTAAAAAGCATCTAATAGTAAATAGCATTTAAAAATAATCTAATCTTACCTCTTCTGTATTTTTTTTTTTCATTTCTTGGCTGTATCATATTTATTTTTCTAATAATCCTGATCAAAAAAATGTCATGAAAAAAATAATTTTGATAATAGAAATGATTTATATACATGCTTGTATGTACACAGATGCCAATTTGAGGTTCATTAAAGATTTTGGACAAGAGTTACATACAAAACTTATCTCAAAATATGAACACTTATTTTGAAATTTTGATAGCTAAAACTTCTATGAACTAACTTAATCCAAGAGAATGATTAATGCATAAACTTCCAGAGAGACAATGCATGACAAATTCCACACAACATACTTACAACAGCATCTTCTGCTTTTCGGCATGTACAGTCAGGGCTTACCAGTGCCTTCAGACAATGACGGATTCGTTTATCTTCTCTTAAAACATGGTTAAATTTCTTTAAATGTTCTTGCGCCTTATTGGGTTCTGGCAATTGTCCTAGGAATTAGAAAATTAAAAATTCATTTTGTATACTTTATATATTTATTTCTATACTAGCTCTTTAGAAAAATCTACATAATATTTCTTAATATTCTAAAGAATTTTTGCTAATGAGAAAAAAAAAGAAAAGAAAAAAAAGTACAAAATAATATTCAATCTGCTGAAAAATTAAAACTAAATCCCACACTCCTCCACAATAAACAATATCAAATTATATAAATAAAATAAGTTCTTTTCCACCACAGAATTTTGTTAAAGCAAAATAAACATTTTTTTTTTTTTTTTTTTAGAGAAATTTTATTATTTATTCTTATGGCACAAAATATATTTCTAATTTGAAAAATTATTAAGATTTTATTCCATTTCTATCAATAAAAAGGACTAAAACATAAGTAACATTTTGATGAAACTAGAATTACAGGTTGTACAGCGTTGTTATTGATTTCCTGTTAAATCAATAACATTAAAAATGTACATTTTTAGAACACTCAATATTACTAATAAAGATGAAAATCAGATTTCAACCTTAACCTTCCCTAAACTTTTATAACATAGGTAATTTCTGACTAGAGCTAACTTTTATCTAGAACATATATACCAAGTTTTATCAAATGGGTACGGTTAATTACTTTGCATGGCTTTGTTTAAATTTAAAAATGTTACAAATTTCAGTATCAAATTCATGTTGAAAATACAAGAGAATATTAATTTAACTAATTTATAAAAAAGGTTTTGATGCTAAAATCAGAAATATTATTATTTATATTAGAACTAATATCCCCATCTTTGTTGTTAGTATGCCAACATTTTGGTCATTGTGGCCTCTGCCCGTTCTTCAGGTGTCTGTTGATCTTTTATTTGAACAGTTCAGTTTGAAATTCCCTGAAGGTTAGTCTGATCAATGCATACCTGAAGAAGGTCACAGGATATAATGGCCAAAACATTATGATAACAATAAAGATGAGGACACGAGTCTGAATGTAAATAATGATAACTTCACATTCCAGAAATTCAGACAGAAATACTATTATATAAAGAAATAAACAAACAACAGAGAAATCTTGTGAAGTCACTATGATTATTCTACAAGTTGTTCAGACTAGTATTCATACACAAAGAGGAAAGTACTAATTTGAACAATTCATAAAATAAGAGAGCAGGCTTCAAGTACTTACTAGCAAGAGCTACCAATTTGGCAACAACAGGAGCAGGGCATCCTTGAAGGTTTTGTTCTAGGGCATCAATCCATTGCAGGACACAGACTCGGACTCTGATTAACAAAGTAATGTAAAATTGTTTAACAGCAGAAGACGAAATGGTACTTCAAAAGATTTTCATTAGCAAATATGTTAAAAAGTAATAATAAATCTATTTGTAATTTATGTTGTAGCATGTAACCAAGAAATAATTTGTATTTGGCAAATTACAAAAATAAATTCGAGCCTGTTAAGATTTTAATTTTTCTTTAACTTTTAAAGAAAACTTCTCATACGTCATGCAGATTCTTTTAAATTTAGACAAAAATTAAAAAAAAAAATATACATTTAAAATTTTTCACAGTAACAAGGGACCATGCTGAATAGTTACTATAATTATTGATTAAACAGCTACTGAATTTCCATCATTTTTCATTTGTGAAAACAAAGAGAAAATTGATGGTATACTGGTGCTTACATTTCATGCCATCTTATGACTTTAAACACTTCTAATTATTTTGAATAGATATTTTTTTATAATTATTCTAAATCACAACTGTAAGTGAACACAACCATTGTGCAACTTTAAAGTCATAGTACAAAATTTGAACATTTTCATAGAAATGATACTTTTACATATGGTGAAATACAGTAGGCTAATTGAATAATGGATTGGTAATTTAATTTACTATTACTGATGCAGTATTAAGTTTCATGCATGAAAACAAAACATTTTCCAAGATATCTAATATTTTTTTTAAAATTAGGATTCTGTGAATTGTTATATTTTCTTGCATATCTGACATCTGATGTGCTAAGATAAAAATAATGTAAAAAGATATGGCTTATATTCTCTTAATCTACAAAAGTACAGAGAAATGTCAATTTCATTTTTCCTGAAAAATGTGCATTTTGTGAGATTTTACTGCATCTAGCATTAACAAATGTGTAGCTTGATATTAACAGATTGAATTGTAACAAATTTGTAAGTTAAATCAAAATATAAAACATGCTTACCCATGTTGGTATTTCAGTAATTCATTAAATGCCCTGAAAAACAATAGAAAAAATAGAAACAATTTTAAAAGTAACAAAAAACATTCTTATTACATTTGTTTCTTAAATACTAAGAAATATTTTAGGATTACCCACATTACATAAAAAGAAATACTTTCTACATACTACTTTTGCTGGAATTTTTGTGATAAGTATTTATCTTTATTAATCCTTGCTTTTCAGACTAGCATGCTCATATTGATTGGTATACTCATTCTTCAAGTGTCCGTCTCCATACTTAATAACTTTATTGGTATTTCAAACCAAACCCTTTATTCAATTCACAAGGGGCAGATTGTTCTCATGCCCCCTTTTCCATACTTAGGGGAGATAACTCATATCAGTGTACCAATACTATAATGCTAGGCCATTTTTGATTAATTCACATAATGCTAATTATTGTTTTCAAATGCATTCTTTTTTAAACACCTTCACACTTTGCTAATTGTTCTTACACATTGGCAAAAACATACTGTTTAAATATTTATTCATTTTTTTAATTTATTTATAAAGCGTTGTAAGGAAAACATCAGGAAATTACTTTTTAAGCATAACATAATCACCTTTATTTAACTTTTGAAATCTTAAAGCCTCAGGAGAAATTAAATCTATTAGAATTCTATCTAAAAATTCAGATGTAGAAAATATGGCTGAATCAGAAAATAAAAACTGCAGTAAAACTTAGGTTTTTGGTTTTAAAAGTATTTATTTATTCTTTTAAATATGTATTTTATACTTTTGGGTATGAAAAGAAAAAATAGTTTGAAGATTTGTTTTCATTTATTCAATTAAATTGATAAATGTAAAATTATTATTATGCTTTGTGAACATTTCTGAAATGTTATTAAATAGTGATTTTCTAAATGAGAACTGTAAAATTTAACAAAATCTATGAATGTGTTGTTTTTTTTTTAAGGAAAATTTATTTAATTTACCTATTGAAATGATGCAATTAATATATATGGAAAGTATGTTTTTATTAACTTTCCCATACTTCAATGATTATATTTAAATTATTGCAATAGGTGTCCCAGAGTTCAGAAATGTGTCATAACAATGAAATTTCCTAATTTTCTTCAATTTCAACTGCTGATATCTTGTTTATTTTCAAAGTTATTTTGATAAAACTAGTATGTAAACAAAATTTAATCTTTCTCTTTCTAAAGATATAATACTTTGTCATGTGTGATGATTAGTTTTTGCTCCACATCTCTTTAAATTAGGTCACTATTTCAATGACTGGTGAAGTTTTTTTTCCACATTTTCAAAAGTGTGCTCTTTTAAAAACTTTGTTGCACTTCAAGCTGTGTCTCCTTATACATATCAAACTCCAAAAAATATTTTTCATCAGTTGCAATAAATGTATTTTTATTCATTTCAATTTTTTTAATTTGAAGATAAATGAGTTTAAAGCTTTACAACTAGCATTTGTTTGAAGGATTGATCAAGGACTTATTTCATGAAACAAATTTTTTCTAAGTTTTGTATTCATTACTGTTCCTTCTTTTTTATAAGTTAAAAATTGCAAATTTCACAAAATATTTTAAAATTACATACATCCCATGACAATAAGTATTCCTACCAAAGAGTAAAGAGCAGCTTTGTTGAATTCCTTATCCCAAAATTAGTAAAGTTTCAGACATTTACCTCTAATTGATATGTTTTAATGGCAAGTTCAGGAAGGTATACCTTTGACCCGTTTTTGACCTACTGTCAAATTGCACTTATGGCTGTTTTATATGGTGTAAATGAGTTTCTTTTATTAATGTACTACTGAAAAATTTAAGCCTTCATCTCTGTTGTGCTATGAATCATAGAAAAAAGTTGCAAGGCATTAACCCTTGAAATGAAACTCATTGGTAGTCAAAATTGCCCTTTTGTGTCATATTTTTTTTTTTAACTATTCTGTTTTCCAAAATGCAATTTTTTCCCAATGTTTATTTAGGCAGGTTTGATTAAATTATTGATTCTGTTAGTATTACATTTTTTTTACTCCAAGACTACCTATATGACATTATATTTATGACTTTTAACTAATCTGAAGCCGGCATATTCAGTTATACACTGTTGGAACTGGCTTCTAGCACATGACTGACAAACTTTGAATGGTTATAACTTCATTGTTAATTGAGCTACCAAGATAAATTTGGTTCCATTTTGCATTTTTTGTAAAACTCTATGCCGCTATTAAAGGTATTTAGAAATATTGAATATAAAAATAAATGCATGAGGGTATAGACTATATATATATATATTTTGTCTATATCCTCATGCATTTATTTTTATTTTCAATATTTCTAAATACCTTTAATACCGGTGTAGAGTGTGTGTGTATATATATATATATATATATATATATATATATATATTTATTTCCAAGTTGCAACTGAAAATTTCGACCAATCCATTATCTTTGCTTTACTTAATGCTGATGATAGTAATACCATTAAAATTTTAATTTAATGGAGATTTGGTAGAGGTAGCTCAAATCATATTTCTACCAGTTTTAATATTCTAGACAATTTGTAAAATGAAAAGTCTTCTACTTACGCTTACCATAATTTCCAAACAATTTTAAGTTTAATTTTCTTGTATAAGATTTTTTTCTTAAGCTTCTAGACAGAGAAAAAAATACTGATAGTTTATATCACTGGGACAAACACATCAAAGTATGAATTATTATGGTAAGCTGAGATCTTTAAGATGTCAGATTGACAAGAATAATATTATTTGTTTCCTCCTCTATGACCAGTTATAAGAAAGTATGTATGTCTATGCATCTTTCTAACCACTACTTTATAATAATAGATGCTGAATAGTAGTCAAAATTTGAATCATTAAAATGCAAGTTTGTTTTTTGGTTTGAAATATTCATAAATTTAGAATATATAGAATTTAGCTAGATGTATTGCTTGTGACTGTCTTATTGTTAAGAGTCTAGCAGAATATAAATGAAACTTAAAAAATATAAAAGAAATATTTTGGTACTTTTATTCAACTTACTTCAGTGCGTGTTCATCCAAAGATGCATAAAGGTTGTGCAGTCGTTTCATTCTCTCAGATGTTGGCAGTATATATGGCACCAGACAAGTGTTGAAGATACGTTCCACTAATAATCTAAATAAAAATTTATTTTTTCTTTTAAATATATTCAAAAAAGATTTTCATATATACAATAGTAAAATATTCAACTTTTTTTTAAAGTTATAAACACAATCTTTCATTTCAGAAACCCAAAAATATATACATAAAAATAGATAAGTCAGTTTCTATCAGAAAGACTCACTTTTAAAAATCACAGTCATTTATACATGCAAGCTAAAGATTTAATAAACTTGATCCATGAATAAAAATAAAGACAACTGAAATGAGAAGTTAGAAATATATAAGTGATGGGATGAATAATGGGAATCAAAACCAAGAATTGGAAATATCAGAAATTTTTGGGGGTATCGAAATCATAAAACTTTTAACTTAATTTCCAATTCCAAAAACTAATGATCAAAAGATATAAATATTTATTGATTTAAACTATCAGTAAAATCTATAGATCCTAATAATACCTAAGTTAAATATGATGTAAATTTATTTCACTTATGTTTAAAAAAGAAAAAGAAAAAAAAAAGTGCAAGTTTCTACTCAGCCTTGAACATTCCATAAAGTTTGCTAGTCTGTTTCAGTTCAAAATAAAATTATTTTTAATTTCTTAAACATTGTTAATTCACCCATTTAATATTATAAATTATTAATTTAATAATTATTATGAAAATTATGTAATATAAACACAAAATGAATTCACATTGTTGTTCTGCCAGGCTCCCTTTTAAGACAGTTTTTATTAATTTATAAAAAAAATGGAAAAAAAAAAAAAATGAATGTATGGAATTCATGTCAATGTCACATTTGATTTCTTCACATAAATTTGACTGTGTCACAAATTGTCCTTTTGGTGAGACAGTTAAAGTTTTTTTTTTTTCATCAAAAATTGTATTTTATTTTATTAATATTTTTCTTTGGCATAACTGAATTTTCCTGTGTTAAATTATTATGGCATTTAAAATATTTCAAACATTTTTTCTCGTTTATTCCTACTCAGAGCCAAATTATAGGGGATTCATGACTTTGCCGAGCATGTTGCAAAATTGCACAGAACTGATTTAAAATATGGTTTTTTCACTACACAGTAATAATCATGTTTCAAAAATGGAAGCTAAAAACTTTAAATTTAATTTTGTAATTAAATTAAAAACATTAGTTCCATTTGATCCTCAAGCGAATTTTAGAGTAACTTATTTTTTAAATTTACTGAGTTTTAACTGCAAGGGAAATTCATAATTTACAGTTACCAAGGATACAGAGAAATCCAATCATCCAAAAAAGGGGTGTTCATTTTTATTAATTTTTGTTGTATCAGTTACAAAATTAAATTTAAAGTTTTTAGCTTCCATTTTTGAAACATGGTTATTACTGTGTAGCAAAAGAAAAAAAAAAAAAAACATATTTTAAATCAGTTAATTTATAACACACACAATATATATATATATATATATATATATATATATATATATATATATATATATATATATATGTGGCAACTCCATGGGTAAGGCTTGTCAGGCTTAACCTGAGCGAGTCAACATTCAAGTATATTTGTTTCAAAGCAACAAAAATCTTTTGTAGTGTATCATTTTCATTTTTGACGTCAGCTGGATGCAAAATTGTTTTAACTATGCCTCAAATTAACTGAAATATATTTCATTGATATTGTTTGTAATAAAGAAAAAAGAAAGAAAGAAAGACAAAGTAAAAAAAGAATGAAATAAAATTAACATATGGCTAGCTGGGCTCCATAGATTAGGCTGGAGACATCTTTAATAGGTAATGTATTTCTTGCTTTAATTTTATAATCGTTTAAAAATCTCTAATGATTGTATATCCTATTTTTCAAAGAACACTTTTTCTTATTTCAAGTTATTGTTTTCAAATTTCCATTTTAAATAATATATTCTGTACAGTATAAAGTTTTTTTTAGTAGAATGTACCAATTGAAAAAGGAAAAATTACATTTGGCTTGACTTAAAGTTGGTGAAAATCAAAAAAAGTAGCAGCCTTTACTTGTGGACTGAAGGGTTGGGGTTGTGTTGAGTGTGACTGGGGTAGTGTTAAGGAAATATGATACAAGTCAATTATTCCTATCTCTACCATCAGTGACCTGATAACCAGGCTATAAAACAATAAAAAATGTAAAGGGGGGCAATAAACAGACAAACATATCAAAGATTGTCCTCACTCTTTTTTCTTACAAGTCTGGAAATTTTTTAAAAATAAATGTTATAACAAGAGTATATTTTGTTAAAGATTGCAACAAGCCTGACAAATATTGATCATCTAAAGTTGCCACTGATATATATAAGCGTGTGTTCACATATAAGAATTGTTTTGATGTGTTAATGAGATTTTCTTTTTCAAATTATCATTACTGGAAAACATATAAGATATACATGGCTAAGCGTATATTAAAACATTATTCAAATATTGTGGTACAAAACAACTAAAACTAGTTTGAATAATTTATAGAATAATGACAATGTTCCATCATAGAATTTTCAAAAATTGTTATAGAAATTAAGTAAATTTTTCCGGGATTCAAAATGACTGAACACTCAAAGAGTCAAACATTATATACTTAACTTATTGCAATTTCTTTCATGTTACATATAGTTTACTCTCCATTTATGGAATTAAATCAAGCAATAGATTTCAGGAAATATCTTCTTGAAATTGTTCAGACTTGTTTTTAGAAATTGCTCTTTTTTCATGCTTTATTCTGGATTATTTTCATAGAATTATGAAGTTATTATTAATAGAAAATTTGTTACAATTCTATTCTGCTTAAATGGCATTATATTACGGTTTACTCTGAAATTTTCTAATTTTAAAGATATAATAAAATGAAAAACTTAATCATTTCAAAAAATAAATTCTGCATTTCTTTGCATGAGATGTTTCACATTTTATATTTTTTAGTATCAAACAATGGCAGTCACGGATATATTATTTTGTAGCTTTTAGCTACAATGAAATGAAAATTAATGCAAGCATATGTACTTTGATAGTAAGTGATGAAAAATCTTTAGACCATGTTCCAGAATTAGATGAAAACTACTTTTGGTAACTTCTGCTATATTAAGAAATTAGCATTGAAACTTAATTGAAAACTTTCTTAGATATGATTATTTTGAGATGCCACAAATTTTAGTTTATCAGACCCATAGAAAATGTTTCTATTTTTTTTAATATTGAACTTAAATATTACTTTTATTGCATCTTAAAGAAAAAAAATTTTAAGTTTTTCATTATTATACCAAAATATTTTTCTTGTTATCAACTAAATATGATGAATTTATAGCTGCATTTTGGCATAAAGAGAGGACTTTTTTTTTTTTTTTTTAAATTAAAATTTATTAGATGACAGACAATTTAAAAAGAAAATAAAGAAGCTATTTTCTTAAAGAAATTTGTAACATTTAATCAAAATAAAATTAAAAAAATAACTACACATAATCTAAGGACATTACTATTTGGCTAACAATCTTTATGCTGATATACCAAGTAATTTCAGGTCACTTAAATAAGGATCTCAGAAAAAATTTTATTTTTTAAATTTTAAATTTAGATATTGCATGACAATAAAATGATTGATACTTATAAATCTCAATGAACACTGTTTTCAAGAAAATCAGGCAATGATTAGTGCTCTTAATTTAGAAAGATTTTTGGTTTATTTTCCTTACATATGATACTAGAAACAGCTTGTGAGTGCGAACTAAATGCTAGTGGTAGTGTCAAGCGCATGAAGATTTATATTGAACATAGAACTGTCAAAAAAATCATTGAACCTTGTTATTACCATTGCAAAGGAATAAGATTGGTCTAAAGTGCATCTCTGGTTATAGATTATTTAAATGTATTGTGCATTTAAAAAATACCCATTATTTATTATTAAATGCCTTTTCTTGACAAAAATGTAAAAGGAGAATATAAATTATCATTTTACAAAAGGAACATTAGAAAAAATATGATAAATAATAAGAGCACTGAGTAGAATAAGTATTAGAATACAAGTTTAGAAATGTATTTACTTGATCTTGTTCATTCAAGAAAACATTAACTCACAAATTGAAACTAAGGTCAGAAAATAAGTAGTGTACCTATGGGCATTATTAGGTAATACTCTACAAACTTGATAACCATTTGAACTGAGAATATTGAAAATAAGCAATTTTTTGAATACTATATCATTAGAGGAGATACAGTTTTGTTGCTGCATGCAGCTGGCTATACTTTTACGTTATAATCAACATAGTTTTAATAACTGGCACAAAATAGCACCCAAAAAATATTTCTTTAATAGTGCTTTAACTTTCTTCCCTTTAAAATGGTTTAAGTCCCATTCATAACAAATGATTACAGAGAAAGGTGAAAAATAAAGGATATTTTCATATAATTAAAGAAAACCTTTAAACAAATCACCTAAGCTACATGTATATATACAAGAAAACCATTTTATGTGCAGCACATTTCATATATGGCATGTTTGTGTTAATTTAAATTTAAGTATATTTTTAACTAGATGGGAAATTTGAAGTTTATAAATGCATTTATGCATCAAATTCTCTAGTAATTATGTCAGTTTTAAATTTATTGATAAACAGCTACTGCTAAAACAGCTAACATGAAAAAAGACTTAGCAGTAGTTTGAAATTCTTCCCATACAAACAATAGCTTTAAAAACAATCTGTGTATGGTATGAATGTGCAGTTAGAAATTTTTAAAACTTATTTTATTGTAAGCATATTCCTATAACTTTCATTTTCAATTTTTTTCTTAAATTAACAATTAAAGTTGTTAGACTTATTAAAATAAAAGAATCTTACAATTCTGTTAAAAATGTATGTATAAAATGCACTATATTATTGGAAAGAATAATTTCTAAAACAGAATGAGGTTACAGAAATTTGTAGATATTCAATAAAGATAGTATTTTAGCTGGGATCATTGAGAAAGAGCATGCAGTATGTTCAGACATGACTTCCAAATTAGATCTTCTTAAGTTAAGGTCAAAAAATCTAAACAGAAAATTTCAACAGTCTAATATTTTCTAAAGCAACTGTAAACAATAAGGAAATGCACAGAGGAAAAACATTGTATTTCATTACCTGTCTTCAGGACTGTGTTGGTAATATGCATGGAAAACTTTGTCCTTTACCCAACTTAAACGCTTTGCAATTTCCATATTCTCTGGATCCTGATTGATGTAAGTTTTATAGAGATGAGCCAATCCAAGTAATGCTTCTCGACGGATCTTGAACTGAAAATAAAACCTAAATGCTAAGTCACTTATATATACATGGAAAATTTTAAGTTTATATATAACTTCTTAAACAGGTTTTTTGAACAACAATTCAAAACCAAATGTATTTTGGGGCTACATTATCCAAAGTTGACATGTAACATGACATTCTTGCTCATGCTGTTTAATGTTGCTAAAAAGAGGATGATTTTTTTTCCAAAAGTGTAAATGCCAACATCTCATTTTACAATTACGATAAAAAAAAAAAGAAAAAAAAAAAGAGAATTATATATATATATATATATTACACACACACAAATTCCCAAGAGGATAGAATCCAGGTAGAACTCAATGTCCAAAACAGAGTAAGAATATAATATAAAAGGCTCAAACATGGTTATAATTTATTACATTGGAATCATAATCACAATCAATTCATCAGACCAACAAATTTGTAGGTCTGATGAATAGACATTGTGATTATATATATATATATATATATATATATATATATATATATATATATATATATATATATATACACACACACACTATATAAAAATGAATAAAATAAATTCTAAAAATTACTAGCTTTAAGTAATAAAAAAGAAATAAATGTGTTCAGACATATCAACAAATTATCTAAATAATTCAACATTGAATTAAAAGAAAAAAAAAATATTTTTTTTTTTTTTTTTTACTTAAGAGGAAATTCTTCCAAGTCAGTTGCATGCAATTTTTGGAGATAAACATAAACTGGCTTAACAAGTGCAGCTATCAAATATGTGTGTGTGTGTGTGTGTGTGTGTGTGTTGGGGGGGGATTGTATAACATATGAATTAGAGCTCCATGTTAGATTTTAGTCTTTCTTGCTACAAAAGACTAGATAAAAATGTTGTAAAGACCTTTGTATAATTATGTTTAAGAAATATAGTGTACAGTATTACCTTTTTGTCCAGAGTCCGTTCCTTAATAAAAGCCAACAGTTCATCCGTGATCATTTTGAAATCTTTCTTGGCTGCATTTAAAACTGCAGAGACCACTTCCATGCGAACGGTCTCCTCAGGATCATGTTGGCGAACTTTCAATTGCTCTAAAATAAAAATGATTTTCATAAGTATTTTTGAAAATATTTTGCATTACTGATTAAGTTGGATATACCATTTTGTCTTCAAAAGAAGACTGAAATCAGACATGTTTTTTCCCTAATTAACAAAAATACATTGTACAAGAAAAATAATCATAAACTATTACATATCAGTATAAACTAAATTATCTAAATTAATTGTACTATAGTTTTAAATTAACATTCTTTCAATCTTTGCAAAAAAAGATATCTGATTTCTGTAATACAAATAAGAATATTCATTGCTTAACAATATCACTTGATCAAAAATTCTCTTTATATTTTCTTAAAACACTGAAGTGTTTGATAACTATACACCTTTGCAATCATACAATTTTAATTTTTAGCTATATTTTATCAGTTCCAAATGCTTAGTTAAATTTTTGTAACTGGATATATGCTCTGGGTGACGAAAAATTTAATTTTTAATTTACAAGTTGATAAAAAAAATTTATTTCTCTCTCACAAAAAGTAATACTTTTTTTTTTTTTTTTTAAACTCATTTCACCCCAAACAAGGCAATGAAACTACTAAAACACAAGGGGTTACTGAGTATGAAAGAATATGAGAAAGAAAAAAAACATTATTAATTAAATAGAACAATAAAAGAACAGGAATTAAGACAGAAAATAATGATTGACATTGCATTTAAATTTTTGAAGATAAAACTTAAATGCAAAGCCAGAAGAGAGTTCCACAAGCAAGAAGTGCAAGAGAAGAAACTGCTAGCATAGAACTTATGGTTAACTCTAGTCATTTCAACTGTAAAATAATGTGACATTGCCAATAATCTAGTATTGTACTTAAATTCATAAAGTCTAGGTATCAAAGAGAAAAGCCCATCAGAACAATTATCATAAAAATGTTTATAGAAAAGGCACAGGGAAGCTATGTTATGAGAGTGGGAAAGTGACTGAAGCTAAGATGCCAGGTCAGAACCAATAACATTGCAGATTCTTTTTCTGCAATGTTATTGGTTCTGACCTGGCATCTTACACAAGAAGACATAAAATGCAAGCTTTCAAAATAAGGTAAGGTTGTTATTTTGTTTGCTTTTGGTAGACTTTTATTCCAAGACATCAAGCCGGTTGGGTCTTTTTTCTTTAATCTAAAGAACGATTTCTTAACCTGATGACATTTACCCAACAACAATATTACTGGCATTAAGGTAATAACTATACCTGGTTTTCTAGATGATATCAGAAAGAATAAGCATCTTTTTACTGAATGGAATTTATTTGAAAAATATAAATAAACAAAATTCAATGTGAGTCAAACTAAATTTTGTAAATTCTTTCAATAAAATATCCATTTTCATGTGGTACTCACCAATGATATCTTTGACCAAATCAGTATGATGTAAAATAAAACGCTGAGCATATTGAACACATACTGTTCTAACCCCAGTGCTGATGTCATTGAACCTAAAATAAAGATACCAAACAATATGATTAAAGATAGAACTTAGATAAACATAAAAATTATGACAAATCATAAATTTATTCTTTTCATTTGTTTCACTGAGTAAAAGCATTATTTTATATCAATGATTGTAAATAAATTAATATCAATATTCATTTTTTTTTTTTACCAAAAAAGAATTTTTTTTTCATTGTGGGCGCAAATCTTTTATTAGCTAGAATAGCCTAATATATATTTGTTTAATTTAAGAGAAAAAGTGTTTTGAAATAAATGGAATATATTATTTACACAAAGCACTTCAGAGTAAAACAATTAAAAACATCTTTAATGTATGATAGTATTCAATGTTAAATAATTTCCAATGAGAAAGTTAAACTTTAGTTAGGTGACCTTATGATGGGTTTACACATTTTTAGAAATGCCCATTAAAAAAAAAAAAAAAAAAAATCCCAAGAATCATAAATATATTTTAATTTCTTTCAGATAAATGTTTAGAATGGTAATTTATTAACACTTAAAGTAATTTAACATACTTCAAATACCTTTCCATTTTCTCCAAAACAAAATTTAATAAGTTTCGCAGTTTAGTTACAGAAGTTTCTTAATAGATGTTAACATTCCCAGAGAGAAATAAACATAATAAAGGTATTTCAGACAAACTAGAAAGTGGCAAAATTTAAATACTCATTTCATATTTCTATATACATTCATATATTTTCAAAGTTAAATATTTTTATGTGAATAAATACTATGATAAACTTTCTCAGAGAAAGTATTTGAGATGCAGAAAGAAAAAGTTAAAATAACATTTTTTTCATTTGTATAAAACTGAACAGAATACAAACTCTTTAAAGCTGATTAATCTATTTTTATTAAAAAAAGGGGGAGAAAAAAAAAAGAATCTATTATTGGTACTCTAAATTCAATAAATGTCAAATATGAAATTTTAAAACTGGCTAACTCAATCATAACACTTTACTGATGCAATTTTTTATTAATATGGGATAGAATACATTTTTAGATACTAAATACAAGTTATTGACAAATTTACAACAAATATTAAGGCACATTTAGAACTGTTTTTTTATTTACTTTTTCTTAAATTGTTATAGTTATCTTAATATGTAAACTGAACAAGCATATTCGTAGGGATTAATTTCATTTGCATAGGAAATAAAAATCCTTTAGCTGCTTGAAATGTTTAAAATTGAATACAATGAAATGGTTTTGATGAAAGATGTGAAGTAGTTTTATTTACAAAAACATAACACTGAAATTTTTCATTTCCAAACTTTAGAAAAAGAAATATAAAAATTATTACATGACATTTATTTATAAATAAAGTTCATGAAGATACCTATCTATACATATTCTCATGGATATTTGCAAAATTGACAGCCATATCTAAAATCCCTTTAATTTAGAAACAAGGGGATGGCATAAAACTTCTCAGCACAAATAAGAAGATCCTGATGTTTGGTTAAATTTTGATAAAGGAGTCAGGCTGAAAACTTTTCAGCACATCTTCATACAATGATTAATTCAATTTCACATAAATTTATGGTTTTTACAACCAAAATTTTTGTTCACTGTATAGAGAAACAATAATATTGTTGATTTTTTTCCCATAAATTAATAGAAATATTTTTTAATATAATTACTGCTTCCTACTTCAATTTTATGAAATTAGCTGAATTCAAATTATTCACAAATTTTAAAGCTGCACCTTTTTTATATGTTAAATTATTTAGAAAACTTATGGTATGGAAAATTTTTTTTAAATTATTTCCTTTTGGCCTTGTGTCTGAAAAATATTTTAATAAAAATTAATCAACAATCTTTAGATTTTAGTGCTAATGGTGACAATAAACAACTTATTACTCCTTGTATATCCTAAGCTTGTTTCCCCAATTGCAGATATCTTTTAAAGTACTTCAAATCATCAGTTTAATGGTAGAAAATGTCTCCAGAACCATCAGCATGACATATTCAGTTATAACACTATAATTTTATTAAAACCTTTTTCACTTATGATTAGTTTTTGAAATATAGAATCGAAATGTTTATTACAGGACATAAATTATGAAATAGTTGAGAAAATTATTGACAGAAATATAAATGAATTAAAAAAAGCCCCGATTTGCTTGAAAATTCACAAAAATGTAATTTATTTAACCCAACACACTAAGCTATTTTCTTGCCAACCCCCCCCACCCCCAAAAAAAACAAGTCTTTAAAAAATAGCTGACTTTTTAGTTCCCATCTTACTGAAATAGCTTATATATTTACTACTTCATAGAAACATTGCTTTTTTTTGTATCATAGAAAATATTGTATCACATAAATTTTGTTTAAAATATTCATTTTTTTTGTGTGTGTGAGTCTAATGTAAAAAAAAGTATGGCCTACAATGTTTAGAAAGATTTTAAATATTCTTTTTTAAGCTTGGATTTGAATTTTTTCAATCAAATCCAAGCATTAATGATTATTATAGTGATTTACTAAGCAGTAGCTTAGATATGGCACAAGGCCAAAAGTATGGGGCACCCAGTGAGGATTAAACTCACTATTCACTTGTAATTGATATAGCAAGACAAGCTTGCTAACCATTACACCATGTTGAAGTGCCTTAATGATTACTATATATAATACATATATGCCAGTATATATAAAATGTCACAACATGAAGACAAACACTTGTATTAAAATATACGTGCATTCAAATAACCTAATCAACTTTCAGTCAAAATTATACTATAATGGCATATTATTTGATGTTATGTTTTTATAATTTAAAAAAAGAAAAAAAAAAAGAAAAAAAGTCATTTATAAAATGCAAACCTTTAGAAAAGGGTGAAGGTCATATCTGATGCAAAAACATATACAAATAATTACTATACAAATTAAATTCAATCCATTTTTAATTGTCAAATATTTATAAAAGAAAAAAAATAAGTCATAAATAGCTAAATTAAATATTTTCAAATGTTGAAATAAAAGTGCTTACACTTATCAAGATATACAACTGAAATTTCTGTAATCTATAAAATTTGAAGGTCATATCTGATTTACTCATTATATATTAAATATAGCCCATTTTTAATTGCCAAATCGTATTTACATGCAAAAATGTTAAATTTTAAATTCTATAAGTAATTTTAAATTTTTTAATATATCATACAGGTAAATGGCGCTTTTGTTTATCAAGTGACAATAACTGCAATTTATTTCTCTAATATTATCTGTGAAAAAAAATTAACGGTCATATTTGACGATTTATTTATTTTTTAGAAAAAACATAAGTTGTTATGCTAACATGACACTTGCTCGATTCTCAATTTTATTTATTTTCCTTTTATATCTATAAAACTGCTAAAATTGATTGGCTTATTTAAACTCTGAACCATACCTGTCCACTTTGCCTCAGATCAGAATGCTGTCTATATGATTTTAAATGTGAAACACTAAAATTGTGCAAGTTCTACCTACAGATGTTACAGGAGAGAAAAAAAAAAAAAGCTTTTACTGCTATCCCATTAAACCTAATGTTGATGAACAGATGAAAAGTAAAGTTTGAATTTTGTATTGAAGAGGAGTTTGTGTTTTCCTTGTTTAAAATTCTTGTAATTGATTACTATACAATAGGAATCTCTACTTTTTCACTGGAAAAAAAAAGAAAGCATAGCATGATGAAAAAGGCCCCAAACTTAAAAACAAAATTTTATTGTCAAGATATTTTTTATTATTAAGAGAAAAGACCAAAGTATTATTTTATTAAATTAAATGCTTTTTTTTTTTTTTTTTTGGCATTAGTATTCAATGTAATATCTATGAATACTATTTTAGAAAAGTGAAAAACACTGATTTGGAAAAACTTGCAAAAATCAAATAATTGTTGGATTTTAATGAAACTTTCAGGACTTATTCACAAATGGATGAAATTATTTTTTAATTTTTTTGTTTTAGAAAATCTTGGTAAAAAATATATTTTATTTTTGCATATGTTACTACCCACCCTTACTTAATTTCATGAAATTTTGAGAAATTAAATTTTCATCCCCAAATTACTAGTTAAAAGCAGGACCCGGAGAATGTAAATCACAATTTTTTTTTCTTTCAAATTGCTACTCATTTCCTGAAAATCTGCTCCAAATTGTAAAATAAAAAATACAATAAAACTGACATTATTTAATTAGAAAAGCTTTTATAAATAAGATTTATTAAAGACACTATTGTCTTAAAAAAATTTTGTTTTTTAATGAATAATGAATTTTTACAAGAATTGTTTTCATTTTTTTTTTTAATTTTAATTATAATTTATTATAATAATTTTTAAAAAATCTTTTAAAATTCAACATTAGTTTAATCTTGTTAGGTTAAGTCATTAGGTGAAAACTATTTACTAATCAAAACTTGAAAAGCTAAATACAAATCATTTTACACCAAGATTTTTGAAATAATTTAAAAAGTTTTTATACATCTAAAATATGTAACATGCCCATTTTTGAAGGTATGGTTGATCATACACAACGTTATCAGAAAATAAGAGCAATGATTATAGTAAATTTAAAGTGAACATTCCTAAAATTAGATTATGGACAATATTTTCCAACATTTTTAAGATTACTGAGTACTTAAAAAATTACATAAAAAAAGGCGATCATGTCATTTTCTTAAATTATGCTTTACAGATAAAGTCTCCGTAGAACAACAATCATTATGTAATCACTTGTCATTGCCTTGTCCATTACATAAAACATGGCAATGTCGGTTAAAAACACAGCTATTGTTTTGTTTTAAAAATACATTTTTGTGTTATTTTAAATTAAATAATATTTTTTCAAATCGGATTAATTATACTTTAAATCAGTTAATATTTATCAAAGAAAGTTTCAGAAAAGTATATTCTATTTTTGGAAGAATTTTAATACAGAGAATTACATTGCAATGAAAGACAACTAAAAAAGGGCACCAATCAGTTATTTTAGAAGACTAATTAAAAAAGAGAAAAAATAAATTTTAAAAAATCGATTCCAATCAATATAATTTCTGTTTGAAATACACCAGAGTATTTTGCTTACTGGAAATAGTAAATTTAATCCTTTAGCTTGCAATTAAAGCTAAAATGAAATATTTTTAATTTATAAAAATTCATTTTAAAACATAGGTATCGCAAATTAGTGGAGGTACCTACTAAATAAGTATCATATGATATACATATAGAAAATGGACTTACCTGCCAAGGAAACAATTCCAGAGGACTCGGTGTTGGGAGGCAAGTTCAGATTCTGGATCAGAGAACATCTTGGCCAGTAAACGAGTAACATTCTTCCTTTCAATTTCTTCACTACTCTGTAAGATCAAAATGTTAGGATTTAGGGGTGAGAAAAAAAAAATTTAATACTAATCGAATGAGAGGAAATAGATATTCAAGAATCCTGTTCACAACAGTTAGTGAGTGGAATGTACTATTTGGTAGTTGCCTGATACTAAATTTGTTGACATTCAAAAAACTTCAAAGAAAATGTGTGCTGTTGTACAAAAACCAACATTTACTAATAAATTTTTAATGCACGCTACAAATATTTAATATACAAGTATAATATTTAATGTAAGTATGAATTAGTTACCTTTAATTTGAATTCCAACTGAGGTAAAACTGCTAAGAGCATGGTACCTGATATCATGTTTAATTCATAGATTAGTTCATAAAGGTGGTCTGACACTTCACTTTCAGATGTTTTGCCAATCATCAAAAGATTGTTAAAGAACTGAAAGAAAGAAAAATAATCAAGCACCGTATGATATGGCAAATGGATTTACTAAAGACAAATGTTAAATACATAAAACTGCATAATAACTACACATTTCTTTTGATACTGTACAAAACATATATATAACATATACTCAAATGCAACATTAACTGTAAAGTCAGAAGCACAAAATAAATATAAGATGCCACTAAGTTATATTTTAATATGTTATAATCATATTGAGAGTTTTCATTACCTATAAGATTACCCATTAACAGAAGTGTACTATTATATACCAATTTCAGTCATCTGATACAGGAATCTCTAAAATTCCTTTCACAATTTTATAATTACAAATAATTTAAGGAAAGAAAAAAAAAAGTTTTCAAAAACAAAAATACAGTTTGCAACAACTTACAGTTTGGATGTATGGCTCTACAGCACAGCTGGTTTTCCGTAACAAGTCTTTTGCCAAATTATAAGCTAATTTATTTTGAGACTGAAAGAAGAAATAATATATAGGTATGATTAATACGAGACTTTCTGAAATAAGTTACCTCCAAATTATCACTAGAACAATTATTTTTAATCCTTGTAATCTATATTTGAAATAATAGATAAAAATAAAAATGCATTTTTAAATTAAAAATCAAACTGTTAAAAGTTGCTGTACTATCTAAAAGAGCTGAGACAGAAGCACAAACATAAATAGTGAAAAGAAATATTTTGTCATTAGGCTAAAATTGAAAATTTTTCATTAATTGCCAGCTTGCAAAAAAAAAAAAAATTTCAAGGTATTAATGATGCGATTTTAATTAAATTTTGTCTAATGAAATCCAGATACAATGAAATAGGTGGACAAATTATATATACTATTAATTTGTCATCAATACTATTACACAGTTTGACAAATACAAATGAAAAGTACACTTATTAAGCAAATGAAAAGGTCAGCAATTAATCTGAAAAAATAAAGTATTGAAGTGCATCACAAAAATTAATTTAATATACTCTACATTAGACAAGCCAACAAATTAATTGTAAAGAAATTCAAGGTTGAAAAGTCAGCAGGAAAAGTTAGACATGTTTTTATTTTGGGGAATAAGAAACGTAGTTTGGTGACTGACTAAACAATTAATGCAGAATGCTACTTTAAACTTGTTACTTAAAGAAAAATGGTGAGAGCTGTAGGGAGGTATTCTATTTTTTCAGGACAATATTCCTGCTTACATGGGTGGCAAGATGATGGGCGTTTTGAAAAATCTGGGATTTGAGTGCATAAACTATACACTCTAGTTACCAGATCTTTCCCTCATCTATTTCCAAACCCTAAAAGGACTTTCAAATGATTTGGAGGTGATAACAGCAGCATTTCAATGACCAAACAATTTTGTTTTTGGAAAGTGTAAAATAAGCATTAGAAATGATGTATCAAGTGTCTTGAATTGCAGGGCGAATATGTAGAATAGCATGAATGTTGTGTGGCTCAAGGTTAATACAGTTAAGCTGAGTACTAATTATTATTACTGATAAAAATTAGACATCATTACCTTATAGGGTTCAATGAGATTTATAAGAATTGTATCCAATAATTCCTGTGAGACAGTATCAGCTTCAGTGATAAGAGGCACCATCATATCAAGCATAAATGTTCGGACTTTAGCTGAATGTTTTTCACTGGAAATTAAATAAGATATATATTAAAAAAAAAAACAAACAAAATACATTTCTTGGAGAGACTAAGTAGGTCAATAGTTTTTTTTCTATGTATTTGCTTATAATGCAGATTTCTAAAAAAATTTAAATTTTCTTATAAAAAGCAAAAGTTCTGCCTTTATGAAGAGGAGGAACAATATCAGGGTTTAAGAAAAATCTAAAGATACCACAAAATTTAAACATTTTTTCTTCTTCCAATTACAAAGTTATTTTATCAAAACGAATTGTTATAAAAAAAAAAAAAAAAAAAAAAAAAAAAGAAGGCAAAAAGGGTTTATTGTTAACTGCTTAGAGCTTCAATTTCACTTATTGTGTCATAATTATTATCATGATTTACACTAAAGTAAAATAACTAACCATTGGAATACAAAAAGGATTCCTGTTATAAAGGGCTTCAGAATTAAGAAATTAGGCCAATGTCAACTTGAAAAATCTTACAGGAGAAAAAAATTATTGATGATAGCTCTTAGAACCTAACATCTAAATAAATTGACTAAAATAGCTAATTTGCCTTAAAGAAATTATTCTAATCACTGATTCATACAAATTTTGATTTTATACGTGACAGATACTGTGTCATACAAAATATAGAAAACAATGTATTGGCTTGAGTAATAAAATTTTCTTTTTTTAAATTTCAAATTAATATGTCAATAACACTCATTGTAACACACAAAATTTGTTTAAAACATTCCCATTTTGGTTTTCTTGTGTAGGCCAAGTATAAAAAAAAACCTGGCCTAAGAAAAGAAAAAATGCTTACAAAGATCTTTAAGAGACTTTCTCAAGTTTGGATTTGAATTTTTCAATCAAATCCAAAGCTTGCACTTTTGAGATTTTTCCTTCAGCCATCATTTTCTCAATCGAAGCAATGTAAGCCTTAATGATTACAAGACATACTGACTTTACTTCTTGATAAAGTAGCTTGATCACAAACATACCAGCATATATTAAATGTCATAAAACAAACTGTTCTTTCTCTTTCAGTGAAAAGCAAAATACTTATATTAAAATGTACATGCATTCAAATAATCTAACCAACTCTTGGTCAAAATAACACCATAATGACATTAGTTAGAATTATTGTTTTGTGTGTGTGTATATATATATATATATGAAGAAATTTTGAAAAAACAAACAAAAATCCTTAAATGTAGATTTTTGTTTGTTTTTTCAAAATTTCTTCATTCTGTCGGATTTATATCCATTTACACTTGCTTATATATATATATATATATATATATATATAAATAAAAATAATCAATCAGCAATATTAATGTGATTAATGGCAAAATCACTTCGCTAGTAGAACATAATGTATGCATTAAAATACTGTTAATCCATTGAATGATATGATCCTCATTTATAAAACTGTTGTCAGATGTTTATAGTGTATATTTTTTTAAGCGAGTACTTTCGAAGACCATGTCTCCCTCACGCTGTAATTTTTTTCCTTTAAAGTTAAAACTTGAAGACGAAATAATAATATATAAAAACAGCATACTCCCAGCTAAGTCATTTATAACATGCAAATCTTCTAAAGGTGAAGGTCATATCTGATGTAAAAATACATACAAATGATTACTATAAAAATTAAATTTAATCCATTTTAACTGCCAAAAAATGCCTTTATCTCATGCATTCTAAAAAGATGCAATTTTAAATTACTCTGCTATATAATGTTATCTGGGTGCACTAATATAATTCTTCTACTTCACTCAACATTTTTGTTAAGATCAAAAATTTTTTTTTCAATAAACAATATGACAAGCTAAAACCAATGTGAAGAGAGAAAAAAAAACTTACTTGATAATGGAAAACATAAGTTTGTACAAATTGCAGAAAATCTCTTGACTATCATCCAGTTCAATACATATATTGAATGATTTTACCCAAGCCAAATTCTGAAATATATAAATAAAAACACACTGTAGGAACAGCAAATCTAATACCAAACTTTTGTTCAGCATTTCAATTAGTATAACAATTAAATTAATATACCAATAGATATATGAAAAAATGGACACTAAATTTTTACAATAAAAATGACATCAAGATTGATTTACAATAACTACCATTACTTGGAATAAACAAAAAATACCCCTATCAAAATAATTCTTGAATTACTCACCATGAAATTTGTATTTTTAATTTAATATCCTTGGAATATTAAATAATAAAAATTCTTTTATAAAATCTATTGTATCATTTTCTCTCAAATAGAATAAAACTAGACTAATTAGATTAAATGTGTCCTACAATGACAATCACCTAGGTGCATAATGAACAACTTACCTCAAGTAAATAAAAGTATCGTTTAAAAGAAGGAGATTCTGGATCTTCAAGTCCTCGTAATTGCTTTACCAAAAACATGAAAATTTCCTGAAACGAATAACAAAATGTAAAGCATATAAAATCATATATTATAATTATATAGTATTACATAGAGAGATTAATACAGTTAAATAATTTATTTCCTGAATTGTGTACATATCTTAAAAATTCTTAGCATACAACAATAATTTAAACTAAACTAGAGAGGCTACTCAGCATTGCCTAGGTAGAGGGTGTAACATCCCATATAACAGTGTAGTAAGGATGGTATGCTTTAATATATTTAAATAAATAATGTTAAAATATTAATCTGTGAAAAAGATTAAGAAGTTAGAAACTTATGTATTTGCTTAATTTAGAATTTAAATTAAAAAAATTCTATCAGCACTTTTTATTTAATAATTAGCACTTTAAATCAGATTTTTTTGGTTTAAATTAATATAAATATTTTCCAAACCATAAATATTTTTTGAAAATTCAAATTGAGTAGCAAAACAATTATTTTTATTTTGCGTTACATGATTGCAGACATCCTTATATTTTAAATTTAATACTTATTTATAAACAAACAATATTTATTATAAAACAAATAATAAAAAGAACATTATTTAATTCTACTTGTTTTCTTTATGAATTAAACTAAATTATTAAATGTATTAATAAGTGTAAAGACTTTGTAATGGCCAATAATCAACTTCTGCAGATAAACATTTTGTTCAAATTCTTTTTTTTGAATAAATATTTATAATTTTCAAATGTTGATATCAAATATTTGAATAATTTTTAGTTATAGTTTTTCTTTGACTTTTTGACATTTACATTTTATTTCAATGCAAACTGTCATAAAAAACTGTCAAAGTTTCTTCAGACAATAAAATATCTATTTGCTTATATTTTCAATTTCATTTTTACAATTTCTTTTTCAACTATTGTTCACCCAATACTAGGCTCAAGAGCCACTCAAGGTAGATAGTTACTGTGTGGTGTTGTATAAGTATAATAAAAAGCAAGAAATATAGTTCATGAGGTTATATATGAAAGATAACCCTAGACTTGAAAAGGTCGAGTTTGTAGCAATTGCGAAAACATCCTGCCAGAAGCCTGTTCCTCCAAGAAGTTGTCCGAGTGGAATCTACTTCTTACTGGTGGAATATGAAGGGAATGAGGATGATTTATCCTTGCGTACATGGCATGGTGGGTCCCAGCTGCAAAGTGATAGAGTAGTGAGAGGCTTGCAATGTTTCATCTGTGGGAAAGGAAAAATAATTCATCCCCCACAAAGCCACATAGAAGCTATTGAAGATAAGCAAGTGGGAACAGCTGCAGCCTAGATATACTCCATTTCTGGTCTTATCTGGCTTTTGCTTTTTGTGGTCCTTATTGTCTAATGTAGAGTTAGAAGCAAAGTTCATAGCAAAGAGTATTGTCTTGTCATGAGGATATAATAACTTCAGGGCCATTATTTTCTTCTGTTGATGTTGTGGAAAAAAAATTGCAAAAACTTTTGAGCTGGTAGGATATGTATGACTCTCTCCCACCATCTCTCCACCCTAACATCCTCAAAAAGTAGGCTAAAGTGAAAAAGATAAAAAAAAGTTCTTAAACTGTAGGGGATCAATGGCTGGCGAAGGTTTTTGTCCTTTTGAAAATAATTGTTCTCTGGGATGGGATTGTAATCTCAGCAGAAATAGTTAACTCAACCAACTATGCTGGTCATTTGTCTTCATTTTTTTTGGGGGTTATAAGATTTCAATTTCAAATGTTACTTTTAATTTTTTTTTTTTTTAATTCATTATTTTCTTCTGCTAATGTTGGGTAAAGAAAAAAAAATTGTAGAAATTTCTAAAACATTCAACTTGGTAGCATACATATGTGAAGAAATTCACACCCTTAAAACATTTATCTTCCTGGTCCCACTAGTGAAAAAACAAAACAAAAATAGCATGGTATTACATAATGCCTAATGAAACTTTATAAATATATTAGTCCTCATTTGTTTGCTAAATAACCCTAAGTGTTTTCCTAATGATAACTTTCCCATTCAATACTTATGTCTTCAAATAAATATGATGCACATGTATTATGCAAAAATGACATCTGAAATGAAATATAAAATTTAGGATAAACAGTATTTTTCTCATATTCAATTTAACTTTTTGCTACTTTAATTATAAAAATTAACTGAATGAATAGACTTTTATTTTACCTATTTAAATAATTCTGCAATGATTTTATTATTAATATTAAAATTAATTTAACCCTTTTTTTATTTGAATAATTTGCTGTTGTTCAAAAAACCTTCAATTAATTTTTTGAATTTTCTAAAAAAATGTATTTATGCTTTAAAAATATTGGTATTTCTCATAGATATGCCATGAGGGAATTTTAATCACTACTTTCATTTTTGAGTAAAATTATCTGAATTAAACTGATCCAAACAAATCTAAGGCTGTGCATTTGTAGACAGATTATTATAAATGGCTTCTCTACACAAATAATATATGCATAAACATGCTTCCAGTAGATGAATCCAATCAACTTGAAACCTATTTATATCCCATCACCTACTTGAGATAATGCTTTCCATTGACATGAAGCGAAAATATTAAAGTGCTAGGAAATTTAGTTCAGTGTTGTGCTAAAAAATTTTCATCACCATAATCTATCTTACACATTTATACCATTCATTCATGCATTGGGTTTTACTGTCACATTTGATCTGATGTTTCTGCTATGTATTTAGAGATTCTTGATCAACTGTAAAGTAGAATATGCAATGTTATCAGTTGTGACCTGACATCTCAGCTTTCCCACTGCCATAACATAGCTTCCCTGTGCCTTTTCTATAAATATTTTCATACCAATTTCAAAACAACCAATTTTACTTTAAATTAGTGTCCTTTATCAAATGTGTTCTGCATTTAAAAATGGAAAATTTATTTAAAAAAAAAAAAAAAAAAAAAAAAAAAAAGAGCAAGAGTATGATTTGTCTCATTCTTCATTCAACAATTAGAATACAATTTTTGACTAATAGAAAAAAATTCCCTAATTATTCTTTGTGAACCTAACAATTTTAAAACAATAAAAGTATTAAAGATTTTTTTTTTTTACAGGTATTTTTCCTACACAACTTTTCTTAATCTACCTCCTGACTACCTTCTTAATCTAACCACCTGAAATTGGCTGGCAGAAAATTAAACTTAAAAAACACCCCTTTTTCAAGTATTTTAAGCAAATATATTTGGTTAACAATTTCTTCATATAAATAAAAAGTGGCTGGTGAGGAAAAAAAGAAAAAAAAAGAAGAAAGATAGCTAAAGAAGAAAATTTAAATAATGCTTACATGAGTTTTAGGAAATTCTAAATATAAAAAAGATAATTTTTAAAATGATTGTTATTGGTCAAAAATAATGAACAAGTATTTCATTAAATTCCATAGCATCGGATAGTGCTATTAAAATGTTAATAAAAATGAAAATGCTTTCCATTATTACTCAACTTTAAAATGACTTACAATAAGTTAACACCATCCAACATGTACATTACTTACAATCAAATAATGTATATTCCATTTTCAAATAAACAGCAACATACTCAAAATATAATACAAGTCAAAAATAAAACAAAATAAAATTTACACTTGGTGGTTACTAGGAAAAAATTTATTGGTGAAAACAGAATTCTTGTTAGAAAATCTCACTAAAGTAGCAACGGTCAAATAAACCTTCATTAAGTTTGTTATTGCTAATGTTTATATTTAAACAAAAACATGAGCTGTGTACAATTAAGCAAGAAATAGAATAATGCAAGAAGAGGTTACTCACCTTCAGATGATCAGGATCTCTATATGGAGCTTCTGGTGCAAATATACGGAAGACATCAGCAATACAGCATGCCACAAGAAGACGGACATCTTTACTAGCATGATCAAAGAAGAACTCGGTGGCCAAATGGAGAGCTAACTCTGAATATTTTTCATTTTCATCTTGTCCCATATCTTGGAACACACGAGCCAGCATCTGAAGAAGAAATTACAGCATTTTTTTTCCTCTTCTGTTTCTCAGTTATGCAATAAATTAAAAATAAATGATAGTTTACACTGATACCAGCAGTTACATGAACTAGCTTTTGGTTACATATGTTCATAAAGTTATAAGATTTACATTTTGTCCTTGTATGCATAAGTTACAGGAAACATTCTTGAAAATGTTTTATTTAGAATTAAATGTCTTCTCTTGGATACAAAAGTGAAAAATTACACATAATGTTAACTAGAACAAACTTTTTGTTGAAAATATCTCAATGTTCATAACAGATTTCATGTTGCATACTAAGTTTACTACATTGACAATTAAAAAGCAGTACTTGGTATGATACTAAACAAAATCTTTCATTTATTTAAAATTAGTATAAGGGAAACTACTTTTATGTTAAGTGTGCTTTACCATTAAGCCATGAGAAGCTATCATAGCAAAGCATAGCTCAATCATCTTCCTTTTCTTATTCAGTTATTCATTTATTCTTAATACTTATTCAGTTTACATCAGTATGGTAAAAGGCTTGATTTGAAAAGAAGACAGTGTTATGTTAAAATTTCATAGTGAAGAGGGTCTATCTCTCATGAAATATCAGCATTTAAAATATTTTATAACTTTTGACATAAATGGAAGTATTTAATTTACTCAACATCATAACACTAGAAGGAATATGATTTTCATAATTAAGTTAACCGAGCCACACTCTCCAACCAAAATAAGCTAGTTAATATCAGCTTGGCTTAATGTAATTACAGAGATAAGTCGATTAATATATCAGAAAATACCTTAGAGAAAAATAATATATAGATAGATATTTTATATGCAGTTGAAAGTTTCAACATGAAGTATTCCATCAATTTTCAAAATAACGGTTAAATAATTCTTTGAATAATCCATTTTTTTCATGATCTGCATATCATGACAAAAACGTTAATGTAGTTTCAAATAATCAAACGTTAAATGAATAAGTATTTTCCTTGTATTAAGTAAAAGCAATTGTCATGGAATTTATTAATCCCTTATTTTTACATGATAATATATTCTACTCAGTTAATATCAACTAAATCAAGATCAATGTGTCAAGCCAATCTGTAACCAATTCAAATGCAGGATTTAATAATAGACAAAGTAGAAAAGAATTGCCAAAATTATTTTACCTTAAGCCTCCGAACCAGCTCATCTTTTCCAATATCTTCAGACACCTCTTTGCAGTTTGGAGGATAGACTATTTTATTAGGCTTGCCTCCCTTTGGCAGCGGCATCTTCGGTTTTCACCTGTGGAAAAATATGAAGATTTTCTGTAAGAATATTACAAAGTATCCATAATAGAAAAAAATGCAACAAATAAAGAGATCATCAAAATACACTAAATATCTCATATATTTATTTGGCTCAGTAGTGAAAAAAGCCAAATAGTAGAAAATGAGAATAAGAAACCAAGTTTGTTGGCCTGCATTGAAAAACAACATCTAAAATCCTGCTCTTTTCTCTCACTCCTTTTCTAATAGAGACCTGAATACTAACTGTTGGCATCAGTGATAAATATACAACTATTTCTGTGACAGGGTAAGTCTAGGCTAAACATCTATAACAAATATAAGTTTTAACTTTTCCGATATAAAAATCTAGGAATAGTTAGTTAAATAATACTAATGGTGAATTCCCTAACTCAAAGAAATAATATTAAATCACTATGTTTTGAAGATTTCTCTCAGATTGTGAAGCACTATAAATGTAATCATACTTATTATAAAACCCAGGTTGTGTGTGTGTGTGTGTGTGTGTGTGTGTGTGTGTCTGTTCATTTATATATTGGATCGGATTTCCTAGATTTTTCAACCGATTTCAACAAATCTTCACTTTTTTTTTTTTTTGGCAGGTAGTGTTTCTTATTGTCTTGCAAACTTTTTCCTTTTTTACATTCAGAATGCTTTAAAAATTCCATTTGCAAGACAATTGTTTATAATAAAATTCTATTCAACAATCAGTAGACTCATAACGATTGAAAACAATGTTTTTGTTTGAGTTTGACCAATTCCTAAAAAAAAAAAAAAAAAAAAAAAAAAAAAAAAAAAAAACAATTAAGACATGCGTGTCCGTTAACCTTAAACAATAATCTTTGTCAGTTTTATTTTTCAGTCTTTATGATGGCCGATACTTGATCTATCTCTTACTGTTACATCCCCGGGCTCTACCGCTAGTCTTTAATAAAAACCTTTTTCTTAGATGAAGCAATTTCATTAATTTTAATTTCATTTACAAAGTTCTGTTCAGTTTATATGATACTAAACAAAAACAACCAACAATCAGTTTATATTATATGACCATTAAAATTCAAGCAGTTACATTAAAAAAATGAGATGAAAGAAAGACTGCAAGAGCCATTCAGAAAATGCAAGAGATTTAGCTAATAAATGAAAATATATTCTTTATATGATCTACTTAGCATGCACACACAGGAAAAAATAAATATATAATATGTGGATTTCTTTTTGAAAAAAAAAAAAAAAAAAAAATCATGTGCTTTTTGTGTACAACTTTATTCTAATTTATTTGGAATATTATTATTACTCTTATTAAAAAAGCCTAACATAATTAAATATGATCATTATCAAAATAATAATAATCATTACTTTGATAATATATGTTGATGTAGTAAGAGTGTTGACCTGTAAATTTTTTTTATAAAGTATAAAAATATGGTTTTACGAATCAAAAATCAGTTATGTATGTACACACAGATCATTAAGCATTAAGAAATGATAACTAAAACTACAGAAAATGAAACTTGTACTTTTCAAATCTGCAGTTTCTTTATTTGATTTCTAAGCACTTGATCACTTGAAAATATAAACATATACTGAATTGGTAATCAAGTGGTACATTTCAATGTCCTGTGTATGTTACAGAAGTTTATTAAATGACTGATTTTGAAGGAAGTGGTTCAGTTTGTTAAGGTGATGCATAAAATGATTAATTTTTATGCAGCATCTGATACAATAAGTTAATGATGCAAGTATTAGGTTGTATTACATCAAGGGATAGATTATTGATGATTCATGATTTGGTGTTATCAAAATGGACCTAAAGATACTGTATCATTTGATATTTTCAATCTGAGAATTCTGTATGGCTGTAATAGGAGGAAAAGGTGAAGTAAAGAAAATGAAGCAAATAAGTTCCAAATGCAATGGATTAGTTGATATTACAACATATAGTGACACTGATAACATACTGAATATTTAAATATCAATGCTTCAATGGAGAATGATGCTTATCCGAAAAATATTTCCATTAAACATTGGTATGATTTCTGCTAAAGCTTTCATTATGTACCAAATTCAAGCGTCAAATTTCTAGTATCTGCAATAAAAGAGAATTTTTCACTATATAACTGATCACGAGGCTGCCAAAATCTGCTCCACACAACTAAAGCTCAGAGAAGACATATAAATATGGGAAGGGGATATTTCATCACGACCAACTCAACATTGACCAACTCATCTGTGACAACTCATCACCAGCCTGCTCAATGTGAAGACAACACTGACATCGAATTCCTATCTTCACTGGTGTTTAATTTTCAAATTTTTCATCACACTGAAAATGAAAATTCTTAGTCAAAGACGAAAAGAAAAACTTGCACATAAAGGCCATTTATTTGTATTTGAAAAGTTTAGTAAAAGACACAGTACATAAAATTTTGGCATTGTGACCAGGGCTCTAGGTGCAATGCAAGTTATGATTTAAAAATGATCTTTAATAAATTATTATTATTTGTTTTTAAAAAGGTAATGAAAAAAAAAAAAAAAAAAAAATTATAGTTTGCATGTTATTGAGTTATCCTCTTGATGAGTAGGCCAGTGTTGAGAGGGCAGTGATGAGTCATCCTACACCCATATAAATAATATCAAATTACACTAATAGTTTGTAGCAGTGCATCAAGCCTAGTTTAATTTTCTTCATACAAGACCCAATGTAATATATATGTTGTAGCCTCTGTTATCAAACTCCTCCTAGGGTTTTGGAGATAGACCTTCATAAACACATATATTCTGAAACTACATTACCCAGTGTACTTGGATAAGTATATTTCATTTTCAGGGAGTCTCTGGATAGCACAAACCCCCCCACCAGAGATGGGTGGTTTAACCGAAAAACCAACTTTTTTCGGTTTCATCTTCACACCGTGAAACCGCATAAAAATTTCTTATGAAACTGAAATTGTTCAGTTTAATTGCTATCACTACTGAGTGACCATCTCCAAAGAAACACTATTGAAAAAGATTTTCAGATTTTAACAAAATTAAATTTTATCAACATTTATACCATTGTAATAGAAAAAGATTGAACAAAAATGTTAAAAACATTTGATTAGTTTTAGAAAATAAATGTGAAATCTATTTGTTTACAAAAGAAATGAAGAAGAAAAAAAATAAAAGGAAATATGACATGATGACTGAAATCTATTTGTTTTAGTTTTAAAAAAAAAAAAAACTTTTGTGGTAAAATTAAATTAACAAAATAGTGAGTAAAAATAAAAAATAGTTGCCAGTTACATCTTAATGCTAAATTTTATGAAGTCGGATTTTTTGTAATTGTTTTCTAGTAAGCCTGTACACCAATCACAAAATAAAATTGTTGTAAACATAAAAAAAAATGAATGAAGATATTTTTTTATGAACAAATTTGTTTTTATTATCTAGGGAATGCACCTAAATTAGATATTAAGAATAATTAAAATAGTTCTTAATTTCACTTTTAAAATGTGTATATTTCTAGATATGTGAGTCTCTAGTGTAAAATTGTTTTCTACAAATAAAATTATGTTTCTATCTATTGAATACACCTAAAATTAGATATTAAAAAAATAAAGTAAGTTTTAATCTCAGTTTTAAGATGTGTATATTTTCAAAACTGCAGGCAATTTTTTTTTAAAACCCAAAGTAAAAATTATTCTTTTTTAGTCACTAGTGTTCAGTGGGTGTTCTGCCTATGAAATTCTTCTAAACAAGGAAAATTAATTCATTCTATTTTTACAAATATCTTTATGGTTTTATCTAGAGAATACACTTGAGAAAAAGATGAAATTAAAAAATTTTAATTATTTTTAATATTTAATTTTAGGTGTTGTATTTGCTAGATAAAAACAAATTTATTTCGGGGGAAAAAATAACTCATTGATTTTCCTTGTGGCATACCCAAAAAGAATTGCCGTATTTTAAATATGAGGGGTTTCAATTTTCGGCTTTTTAAATGCCATATCATAAACTTTACTAATTTCTGGAGAGCTATACCATTTTCTCTCTCAAATGTGTTGTCCAAAGACACAAATATAGATAGTTCGTGCAGCAATTTCTTTCATATTATACCAATTTGTTAATAAATATGGTAGTTACATTGACAATTTATTCGAAAGTTAAAAAAAACAAAAAAACCCCCCAAAAAACAACAATTTTCAATGAATAAAAGCACATACCAATTACATATTTTGAAAGATTATTTTTTTCCAGATATATAAATATTTTTAAGATTGGAACAGAAATACAGGAGAAATTGCAAGTTGAACGAACTAAGTTGCAAATTTATCAATCTCAAATAAAATCAGATATCGACTGGAAATGCTATCAGTACACAAGAAAAGGAATGGCTTCCTTAGAAAACAAAAATAAAAAAAAACGAATTGAAAACCATGGTGTCAAGGAAAAAAAAAAAAAAAAAATTGGAAACGATACTGAAACATAAATTGCCAGACCAACTAATCCTATCCCCTACTGAAATTTTTCCCCTTTGATTTAAATCAAATTTAAATTTGAACAAGGGAATGATTCCCATCCAAAATATAGAAAGAAAAAGCCAGAATATAGATGTCACATCGACAAGATCAAAATGAGACAATATGGATGTGAAGTTGAGTAAGAAATTGTTGTGCCTTACAATAAATATTTGTTGCAACAATTCAACTGTCATTAATGTTAAAATCTGCTCAGCAATTCATTCAATCAAATATTGCATCAAATACATATCAAAAAGATTATACACCATTTTTAACATCAAGTGGGTGATTCTGTTGAATTTTACCATTGGCAAAACTACCTTCTTTGGGATATAATAATGCATTTGCTCCATTTTCTTTTTTCTTCGCTTAGTAATTTACTCTAATTGACTAATTATCTGTGATCAATGCAACCCTTCACATTTTTTTAAAGAGCTTACTTCCAAATTCCATGTCCAAAGAAGTTCAAAGTGCAGTCAAATCCATGATATAATTTGAA